AGCCAGCGTACCGACGTCAAGAAGCACTCCATGGCTGCCTCGCTCATCGCAAGCGCTAGAGGATGAGGTTAATCCTGTACTGCGCGTTAGGTGGAGGGCTTGCCTTGGTGGTGATATGGAGAAACACTTTATTCCTGAAGCTGCCGATAGCGAGCACGGCGTACGGCTGTACTCGCTGCATTTCGACGACCTATGGCAGTGGGTAGATGACGTTGTTGCAGAATTACGGCCAAAAAGAGCGAAGATCTCATCTGTTTGCACTGTTGTTTACCCAGCTAAGCAGGCCAAACGCGAGCGCGCGATAAAGCGATTGCGGCGAGGTGTTGATGCAACGTGGAATAGCTTTCAGCGCCTTGTTGTAGAGGTTGATAACTATGTCAGCGAGCCAGTAAACGTCGATTTCGAGCTCATCTTGGCTGAAATTCCAGGGGAGCAGCAGCCGTTGCCAACGGTTGTCGACGGTCCTCGTCGACGCACCGCAACGGTGATTCAAGAGGAGGGGCTTGCTGGTGTAATAGCAGCTGAACAAGCAGGTAGCGGGCATGCTATTGCTATCCGGGATAGATGGCGCTGTACAGATACCCATTGCGAGAACTATCCTTATTGCTGCTGGATGGCGCCAACAGCGAGGCAGCCAGCGCGCTTCGAAGATCACCTCTTTGTCAACGGCAACATTATCTCCATGTGGGCAAGAGCAATTACAGCGAGAAGGGCAACGTACGATGAGCCATCTGATGATGTACGGCTTGCAATTTTGAGAGCAAAGGACCTGCGGGTGCATGAGAAAACGCGCAAGTTGCGGGCGGCTGGAGATGGCGACGATGATATCAAAAGCTTAACAAAACTGCTCATCGTTGGACAGCTTGAGCGGATGAACAGGCAACCTCAACAGGAGTCTAACTTGCAGGCAGCTGCACCAACGATAACAAGAGCTGAGGTATCTAGTGCATCTCAGTGGGCGCCTATCCGATATGATCATGAGCAGGAGATTAACGAGCATACTAGTAATTTCTTTAACTACCTTAAGTTAAAATTTCCTACAGTTGGAGAGGACATTAACGAGCTTTATAAGACTCTTGTTATTGACGGAGCTATGGATATCAACCTCTTGATGCAGCCATCTGGTGATATCTTGAAGTTGTGGACGCAGCATTTCAAGCAGCCTCCTGGCTGGTTTTTCACGCTACAAAACACTGCAAAAGAATGGCAAGCTGGGTACCAGGGTCTCACAGATCGTAACTGGAGACGAGTCGAACGTTGTAAGAAAAGAGAAGAGATTGCGCGCAAGAAATTGGTGGTTGAACCGTCTAGCAGTGTTGTGGAGGATGATGGCGAGAATGCTTGAAGCTTAGTGGCCTGAGCGTTTTTGGTGACAGCGGCCCGTGCCCGCTATAGTGTTGAGGTTTTTCAGGCGTTTCAAATGCGCTGCAACAATAGTCTATTTGGATAGCCCTATGTACAACACTACAACGTTATGCGATTATAACAGGTTAACTTCCTAAGATAGTTCTATATGTATAGAAATAGCTCTTATTTTTTTAGAATTATTAAATCGCTTTTGTGGGTTGCGCATTAAGGTGTAATCGTTCGCATTTGTATGGTATCATCTACCTATAGAAACGTACTGTGGCATCCATTTAAAAGCACAATTAATAGGGATAGCCACACCTATGGAACCAGCTTCTGCAGTTAATATTACAGCACACCAGCTGCGCTGCATACTCAAGAAAGACCCCAAAGTCAATGAAGTTCTCCGCTTGCGCTGAATTCCTTTTCATCCACCCCTTGAGCTGCTTAAAGCTCTTCTCGATGGGGTTGAAATCTGGTGAGTATGGCGGCAGATACTCAAGGAGTACTCCAGCACTTTGGCAAAGCACCCGTACACGCTCTGATCGATGGATGGAGGCGTTATCAAGCACGATTACTGAGGCTGGCCCTGGGTGAGGATTGCAGAACGGCAGCACTTGAAACTCTAAGAAGTCTTCTAGGATCTCAGATGTAATCGCGCCTTGAAAGATCTTATAGCTTATGTAGCCATCTATCGTCATGGCTGGCAGCAGCGACCACCGTTCTGATCGCCTGAAGCTGTGTGATAGCTCCACCGGCTCCCCGATTGGAGACCAGCCATACTTGCGGTCGCCCGTACGCTCATTGCAGGCGCTCTCGTCCAACGCAACGATCTGCTCCGCCTTATAGTGTTGCGCCATCCTGGCAAGATAGAGGCGGCGGAGTGGCTCACTCTGCTCCTTTGCCCGCTTTGTTGCAAGCTTGCGAGACCATCTCATCTTCTCTAGCTCTCGGTAAACGCTCGCAAGGCTTATCCTAACGTCGTACTCGTCGTACAAGAAGTCCCTCATCTCATCCATGTATGCGCCCGGTGAGCCATTGAGGTATGCCTGAAGGCCTTCGCGCTGAGCTTGCCGGAGTATAGATGGCCGCCCAAGTCGAACGCAGCGCGGCGGATAAGGCACGCCCCAAAACTCTAAGCTCAACCTCAGCTTTGCTACTGTGTTACGGCTCGCACCTGTAGCTCTAGAGATGGCTCGATCACTTTCGCAGGCAGCAATTCGGTCGAGGATAGCCTGGAGAACAGCGGGCTGCAAGCGGTGGCCGGTGCCTGGCATCGCGATGAGATGGGCTCGAGAAAATTGCAACACCAAAAACGCGAGTCAGTAGAGGCGATCGCAGCAAACAATGAACTTCAAATACGTTGTGGGTGTTAGAAAGCGTGGCTGCATCGATTTACTAACAAATTACTATAGGAGTTGATGTTCTTGGCCACCAAGCCAACCAGATCCAGGTGGCTCAAGGTATTTCGAGAAACACCCATAACCATCCGCCCGACTGATCGACTGTGTCGGTATATGTATACGATCTCCATGCGGCGCATAGCGCAGATAGTACGAGAAGTCACCTCATCTCCACATCCCCCAGAGGCGCACACCGTTGATTTACTTCCGTCTGCGGCCGCGGGTTTCACGCGATCTACGAGCCACCGTTGGTGCGATTGCCAGCCACAACCAAGCGGGAGGCAGCCTTCAATGTGAGGTATCGTATCGAACTCCTTAAGCACCGAAGCGGTGCCTGAGAGATTTCTCATGGTATCAGCTTGTCTGTGTGTCTGGACTCCGGTCAGCAAGTCTAGCCACATCTGTCGTTCTGAAGCCTCTGTTACCCCTGACATCTTCTTTAGTGTCCTTGGTATGGTTCACCTTCCAGGGTAGATCAACTGTGCTAGTGCCGATTTACCATTCATTTGGGTCTACGACCCTTTGGAGTTCGACAATCTTGTTCCAACAATCGTCATGAGCCCTGGTGACGATCAGGCATCTTCCAGCACTACGGCAAATCGTTCCGGGCTTCATGGCATCCTCATACCGGTAGACTGTCGTGTATGACGGTAGCTACACGTTCCCTCTCAAATGTGACGTAGGAGCTGCTGACAGGCGCTGTCGGACCACAAAACTGCCTACCTCGTTACGTAAACGCAATGAATTTGCATACAGTCCATACCTGCCTACGCATAAACAGATTCGTCGTGCCTGAGCCACGCATGCAGCCATATTCTGGGGGCTCTTGCTCCACTCTATCCTGACAGGATTTGCCTAACTGAGTTAGTTTTCGGGAAGCTAGAGCACTCGGGGAATCGGGTTAGATCAACGTTATGACCCCCAGCCGTAGTGGATTGACAATCTACAGCATGCCGCCAACGGCGCAACTGGTAGTCTGACTCTACATGTTGATGACTGCGTAGACGCCCGTGCCATCCACCAAAGATCTACGGAAAATCAAACCCACGCCCATCACAAATTACGGCCCGGGAAACCAGCCAATTTGCAACAGAGAAATCGACGGAAAAACTTTGCTGGTCGGAATGAACTTGGGTATCGCAAAAGCACATAGGATACTGCAAGGCAGACATTTCGTGGTGGATCCAATTAGGTTGGGGGACATGTCGGCCTTGCCTGTCGGGCCTTTTCTACAGCGACGAGAGAAGTAAGATTTCTTTTCTCACCACAGGTTAGTCATCCCCCAAATCCAATCCCAACAGCGGATCTTTCGGATCTTCATTTCGGGTTTATTTTCGGTTACTCATTTCGCTGGCAATTCCCACGCCTCAGCATGCAGTGTGTAAGCTGCTGGGAGGCATGCTTGGTATATAAGTCAGGGTGCTGCTGTGTATCAACAGGTCAACCACTATCCAACTTTCTGTCTATCATTAATAGTATTATCTAATCGACTCCATCGACCATCCACTCTTTACAATGTTGTCTCTCATCCTCCCCAGCCTTTTGGCCCTTGCTCAGGGTGCCCCGCACGGCCACCCCAAGGGAAACAGCACTGGACTCAACGCAGGCCTAGTCAGTGATCTTGCTGTAGCGAAAGCCTTCGCCGCGCACATCACGGGCCCCAGCAACGTCACCGCAAACTGGACTGCGGCTGGTGACGATCTGTCCCTATGGGATGGCTTCTTCCTAGAGACCAACCCCGACACCAACCAGCTCGCACTCGCATCCGTCGACATCAACGGCTTCGGCCTGGAGGGCGACTACCAGTTGGAAGGCTTCCTCGACAAGCTTCACGACCTTGCCTTGTTCCATGCCAATAGCAACAACTTCAAGGGCACCATTCCCAAGATCAACAAGTTGAAGTACTTGTACGAGCTCGACGTCAGCAACAACAAGCTGTCCGGATCGTTCCCCAAGAACGCACTCGGTGTCAACGGACTTACCTTCTTCGACATCCGCTTCAACAGCTTCTCCGGAAAGCTCCCCAGTGATCTCTTCACCACATGGCCCCAAATCGAGGCCATCTTCGTCAACAACAACGAGTTCGAGGGCGAGATCCCCAACAGCATTGGTGCTTTCCCCGGCCAGTACCTCGCCTTGGCCAACAACAAGTTGAGCGGTGCTATCCCCACCACCGTCGCCAACATGGCTAGCCTCCAGGAGTTCCTCCTCCTCGGTAACCAGCTTACCGGCACCATCCCCCAGGGCCTCGGTAACCTCGTCAACCTCACTGTCTTTGACGCTTCCCACAACCAGTTGACCGGCCCTGTCCCAGAGGACCTTTGCGCAAGCAAGTCGGTCCAGAACATTACCCTGGAAGGCAACAACCTGGACAAGAACCTCGGCCCCAACTGCGCCCAGGCTCTGAAGAAGGGTGTCCTGACCATCTAAGGTGGGAAGACGAGCATATGGTATTGCACAATGGAAAGGGTATTTGGGTTTGAAAGAAAAGCTCGGTCCTCAGCAGGAAGAGGAAAGATGGAGTATACCGTTCGTTAAACCAGTCCTCCCACTGTAGTAATTTTTACTCTCGATAACTTAATGAGGGAGCCAGCTCTTGTCAAATTTATTCTAATTCAATATACCAAACTACTGATGAGAACCACGGTGTCCTTCACACACGTCTCCTATGTTATGTATTGTAGCATTTGAATACTAAACGTCGTTGTCAGAATCACTGCCTTCTCTGTCTGAGTCCGATAGTCGCTCGGCAATCTTCCAAAATGCCGTCGGTCCCGCAGGTCCGTGGGCGTCGAAGTCCTTGTCGAACCATGTTCCGATAACACCGCGTGGACAGCGCATGCCGCCAACTTGGATTCCGTCGCTACGCCACCGCTCCTCACCGCTGTCACAATGTCAGCAATGCCCTGTGGAACATAGGATCACAGGAACTATAACCCTACCCTTGAAACACTGAGATGGTCTGCCAGCGAACCTCGCCTTCGCGCGTCATCCGAACAGTACCACGAATCCCAGAGTTGGCATTGGGATCCCACTGGGCGTTTACAGATCTTGACACGCCCTCGAAATGTACTATGGGTAAGTCGGGGTGATCCAAGGGGCCCGGTGCAGTGACATCGGTAACCCAAAGACTCATGACGATATGTCTGAAGGCCTCATCGGCGGTAAGCGCCTCTCTCGGTCTGTTGGGCGGTACTCTCATTGCCTCGTTGCTGAAATTAAAATGCCACAGGTCTTGGTAATCAAGGAAACAGACGAGCTAGCGCTATTAGATTGGAGTCCTTGTTTCCATGGAAAAGGTGTTACTCACACGCCCATAGATGGCCGAAACACCATAAGGATCTTTCATATCCAAAGCAATATCCGGCTGGCGTACGAGCGTCAGGTAATCTGTTTGACCTTGACCTGGGCGCTCTGTCTCTGCAGGAATCAGCCCATCGAGCGCGCGAAACCATGGGGCCTGGTGTAGTTGTGGATCCTTTTGGGAGCTTAGATGGGAGTTGTATCCAATGACAATCATCAGACACTCTATCATCTCCCAATCCACACGCATGCTGCCGTCCTTGCGGAACGGGCCCCATTGGTTTTTGTCGGTATAATTTCGCAGGTCGTAGACGTGTGACCTGGCATACGGGTGGTGGGCGAGATCATTCCATTTGAATTTCCGGGGAGTGAATCCGAGTAGGCTGTGCAGCTTCGCACTTAATTGACGGTCTTCTTCGTTGTCAGCTGGCCGGTGAGTCAATCCCCCTGCACGTCCGTAGAGTGATGAGCGACACATGAAAGCATTGTGGTTCTGTGGTATTTTCTGGAAATAATGTTCAATCAGCTGTTGGTTGTGCGAGACACCGGAGTCGTCATTCGACATGGTGGCGATGAGATGTATAGCTGTCGTACAGACGCTATGAAACGCTTCTGTCTGTATATGATGAGTAAGCGCATCTATTAAAGTAAGGGATAAATACCTTGACATCATTGTGAGCGGAATGGAGGATCTTTTGGAATTCAACCACTCTCTTCAATTCCCTTGCCCAGTCCGGCTCTGGATCTTGCGGCTTTCGTCGACGAGGGTCATCCTAGAACACAATTAGTCTTTCAAGTGTAGATGAAAGATCGATCAGTCCATACAAAGTGCTTCACATATAGGCTCTTGTGAAGGCGCGTGTTCTTTGTGACGAACTCGTTGAAGCCCTTTGATGCCTGAGCACATGCTGCAACGTCTTCAGGGTTGATCTCCTCCAAGATCTTCATCAGCATATCATAACAGAGATCAAGTAATTCAGTCATCGCGTCGATTATACAGGTGGCAGTCTTCTGTGTGGCAGTTGTGAGTGAAGCTGATGAGCATGAGGCGTGGGTGATGGGGGGGGGGGGTTCGGAGTTAACGTGTTGGTTTCCAGATGACTACCTAGATGTGGCACGGCGGCACGACGGCACCAGTCACTTTCGCATCACAATGACTGTAGCCCAGAAGTGCTAGGAATTTGTCTCGGCAAGCGCAATTACGTTTGATGAGACATCTGTGAGTACACACCTAAAGTACAGCTTTGGAGAGACGGAGATAACGTCACGATAGCCGTTAGCGTCTTTCATTAGTCAGCCGTATTCCCATCAAAGCGCTAGGTAGTAGCTGATCACAAGTCTTGGAATCGATAGATCTTACAAAGCATTACAGCACGCTATATGGCTAAACATACAAATATTTCGATTGGGTATCAATAACACTAAAACAACACTACCACTCCAAGCGATCGTCGCACGTCAACCGCACATCCCACTTGTCATTTCCCTTCATCACCTCGCCACCCTTGTTGGTGTTCGCTACTATCCGCCTCAGATCGCTAATCATGCCACCAGGCCCCGAGGCAAAAACATCCGTGCCTCCTCGTACAGTACCAGCGACGAAATCCGCCACAACAGCATCGAGGTTTGGCCTTGCCTGGATATGATTCAAGCCCAGATCCGACTTTGAAACTCCATGTACCGACAACGCCGAGGACGCATCAAGAGACGACGAGGCGGCGCTGGATGTAGCAGGAGCAATCTCCTTTGCGCAGTCGCTTGCACCAACTTTTTCCGAAACAGCGGGTGGCGGGATGCCGGCTTCTTCTGCGGCGCGGGTAACGTAGATGTGGATGCCGGTGCGAAGGTTGCGGCACTTGCGCTTTAGGATCGCGAGTTCGGGTGCAACCCAGTCGATGTCGCTTCGGCGACGCACAACCCACACGAGAGACATGTGGCGATCGGGTGTTTGTGTTTGGGAAGCGAGATCAAGAAGTACGGGTAGGACGTAGGCGATACCGGTACCGCCTGCGATGCAGATGACGTTTGAATCGGATGCTAAGCTACGCATGGTGCGCTCACCATAAGGACCGGTCATTACTACAGAAAGGCGGGCAGCAGCCATTAGACCTTCGTGCGACTCTTCGTGGTTCCCAATGTTCGCGATGCGCTTCATGGAAAGGTCGGCAATCTTCCTGGTTTCGCCTTTCCTGGCGCGGAAAATGTACGAGTGGCGTTGGGTGTCAGCACCGAAGACTGGGCGGCTGATGGGCGTGAATGGGTGAGACTGCCAGATGCTGCTGTCAGGGAACGTCAAGTAGAAGTGCTGACCGACAGCCCAAGCGTCTTGAGGATGGTCGTAATCCAGACGCACGACATCGCCGTTGACTTCATCCTTGAAGAGCGAGATGTTTGCAGAGGCTGCCCGAAAACCCATGTGCCCGGAGGGTAGGAAGTTGTAGTGTAGCAGTGCGGTCCTGGCGAAGCGGATACCGCGGTCAATGAACCAAACGATGAGGCCTGGTAGGAGGAAGACCTTGAGTTTCTCCCAGTGTCCCCAGCAGGCGCCAATGTACACCATGGCGAGGACGTAGTGAGCCTTACGGAAGAACTCGTAGCCAGTCAGTCGAATACCCCATGGCGTGGAGAGTACGACGAGGAGGGTCAAAAGAATCATTGCGACCAAGCCCCAGACCATATAAGTCTGCACAATCCATTCTATGGCGACGGTGGGTTGAGGCTGATACAGACGAATTTCAATGATGCACCAACCGATGGTGTGGAGAGCTGATTGAACAAAGATGATGTATCCAAGCCAGCGATGGAGGAAGTTGAAACTCTGGTATGGCAGTCCCGTGACGAGCGATAGGATGGATTCGCGGGTCGAGAGCATGACGGAGAGGGGTGTGAGGGCATATGCGAGGACTCCGATTCGATCAGACCACGGTCCGAGACTGCTGCGCGTTTGATATAGGCCGGGGATCTTCTTCACGGGCGTTACCCATTTTTTGTAGACAATGCCAACGAAGGTGAAGATGGTCAGGTAGCCGGTCAGGACTAGTAGCGTCAAGACCTGGGTACGCGTGACACGGCCAAAGATTGGTCGCGCAGCATCGGGAAGGAGGTATCGTCGTGCGTACGCTGGGATGGCTCGTTGTAGTCGTTCGAATGCGCTGCGTCTTCGCGGTACTCCCTCGCCTACCACCGCCGGTAGTTGGACGCCGGACGGCTGCGATCGCGCGAAATGTCGTCCGACACCCCATATCAGCAGTATGGCGCCAATAGTCGCCCATATGATGCCAGTGTATAGCATTCCCAGGTCATGGCTGTGGTAGACGATGTCGAGATATTCGCAGGAGCCCTTGTCGTTGGTACATGGGACGAGACGAACAGAATAACCCCAGTGCGGCTCAACGGTGCTCGCCTCGCTGAAGTTTTGAATGTGCGCCCGCGGGACCAGCATCTCGGCGGCCATTTTCACTCAACACAGCGAGTGATGATGACAATTGAAGATTGGATGATGGACTGCATTCTATACAACGTGCTCCAGACGTCAGGTATATAAACACGAGAGGCGAATGCGACAGATTTGGAGTGAGCATATTGTCGTGCTGCAGCCAAGGCCCTAGAAGGACGGAAAGGCTTGGGAGCGGGTAGTGATACCATTTAGCGTAGGAGCGAGGGTATTTGAGCAAGTAACCCCACAAGCACGGGCAAATCGTCGGTATGGATTCGCGGGCCAGACTACGCGAACGGGCTGCGGCAGTTGATCGAGACCCGGTGTATATCATATCTATCGCCTCACCCACATTACTTGGGGCAGAAGACTGAACGAGGTTGGCAGCTGTCCTACCAAACTTTGTACCTGTGTTCCCTTGCCGGCTTTTTCATTTTTCCTCAACGGAACCACCTCTATAAAACTGGAACCAGGATTCATCCTAAGCAACGGCGTGCACAAAGATACACCAATTCACATAATTCAACATGCACGGAATGTCAGGAATGGGCGGCATGGGCGGGAACAATACATGCGTAACAGAGGTATGCATTTCAACCGCCATCTAGAGAGCATTACTTACAAACTTTTAGATGTTGTGGAACTGGCGGGTCACCGACGCCTGCTTCCTCTCCTCATCATGGCACATCACCAACAACGGCTCAATGGCTGCTAGCTGCATCGGCGCCGCCCTCCTCGTCGTCTGTCTCGAATTCCTCCGCCGCGTCAGCCACGAATACGACGCCTTTCTCCTCCGCCAATTCCAACGTCAACTCCACGCGCAACAAGCCGCTCTAGCAGCAGCCGCGCCCTCAAACTGCTGCGACGGTCCCGTCACAACGCTAGGAACCCAGCATGCAACTTTCCGCGCCAGCTCATTACAACAATTCGTCCGCGCTGTTATCCACGGGGTCACGCTTGGTTTGGCATACATTGTCATGTTGCTGATTATGTACTTCAACGGCTGGATCTTCATCTCAGTGGTGCTGGGTGCCATTCTGGGCAAGTTTCTGTGCGACTGGTTGGTGGTTAGGATACCTTATACTGCGCCGGGAGAGAAGGAAGAGCGACGTTCTTCCATCGGCGCGGCTGGGCCTACTGGTTGTTGTGCTTAGGCAGGTTTTTCGGTACCCGAAGAGTGGATTTATTAGATACCCCTACCTATATGAGCGTCGCCATATATGGCAAATGAAATTTTTTCTCATCTCGTTCCCACATCCCAAGAACCAGGTAGCCATGAGCAATCAACGATGAAATTCAGGTCAACTTAGAAGACTCGGCTTCACTGCGTCTACCAAGCTCCGCTACTACGAGAACATTTGTGCTGGCGCTTGGCAATATGTTCCCGCGGACATGCGTTTGCTCGGCGAATCGTTTCAAATAATATCGTGCTTACGGCCGACTGATCCGTCGCCACACCCTAGCGTCACCGGAATCGAGAGAGCGTTCTTTTGCGCACATTATAAATCGATGCTAAGACAGCTTGTAAACCCGCTCATATCAGGTGTCCATCGCGGTACTCTAGCCGTGCTATCATTGTCTTCATGCAGTTAACTGTTAATCCCCGGCTTGACAACGTGCTCATAACATTGGCGTGTGCCACTTAAATAGACGCCTCATCACTTCTAGAAAGCATTAGAAGGTAGGAGTTCTATAGGCTTGAACTGCTTTGGCTTAGGTGTGCGTTGTTGATATTGGCCGGTATTTCCTAAATAAAGAGATAATCACATACAGAGCACGTAGGAAAGGGTCAGGGAGTTAGATGGGCTTGGAACACTTTATCCCAGAGAACATGCCTCTAACATCACCAAATTCCAATCATGAGTAGTGGGGGTAAGTGCTCAAAACAATGCAATTAACCAAGATTATGCTCACTCGCGCTGAATGCAAACGCAAAAACAAACACAAAAGCCATGCAATAGCAAACCAGCATGCAAAACACCATGCCAATCATCAAACCCGACAACACCAAACAGACACCTACGTCCAAAGCCTCCACACAGCATCGACCTTCTCTAACAGCTTAGCAGTCTCCCTATGCTGTTTCTCATGATCCGTCAGCGCACTCAACTGCCCGCGCATAATCTCCAACGAATTATGATAAACCTCACCCTGGCGCCGCCGCAGGAGACCCTTGCAGCCATTCGCTTCTTTAAGGATCTCAGCGAGGTATCTGAGCATTCTATCGCGGCGGGGCGGATCGACCCTGCCGTCTACATTTCTGACCAAGTAAGTTGCGCAGTCCTCGAATCTACTGGCCATGAAGAGGGCATGACTCAGGACGGCGGTGCGCGCGATGCTGATTTCGAGGGCCGTCTTGGGGCTGCTGTGTGTGGGTACGGTGGGGATGCCATAGGGTGGGGGACAACTGGCTTCGAAGCGTTTCCTAAATTGCTCATCTTGTAAACGCTGCATAGCCTCGTTGAACGCCTTCAGGTCGAAGCCGGCTGGCTTGGAGGCCAGAGGGTCGTCAAACGGAGTTGGATTATAAACGGCCTGCATGACAGCTTTGAGGCGATGACCCATGTCTGCGACTTCAGGTAGAACATGGGCCTGGCGGTTGAGAAAGTCGAATAGCAAGTCCATGCGGTTCATGGGCCACGCGTTCTGCAGCTCCTGCGCGCCGACTTCTTCCAGGGGCATCTCCTTGGCGCGTTCGTTGAGGAGGTCCTGGATGGGGTTTAGCAGTTCCCATGTGATGGTGTAGACAACTGCTGCAGCGTCCTGCTCGTTGTAAGGCAGCAAGACTTGTCCGAAGAGAGTGATGGCTGTGTCGAGCTGAGGGCCGTACGAGACAAGCTTCTCCAAACGTACTAGGTACCGCTCACGGTAGTAGAGGACTTTGGCTATGATCTGCTGTCGGTTGGCTTCGATCTGTCGTTGGTTAGCTTCAATCTCCTCGGCCTCGCGGATCTGTGCAGCCTTGTACGCCTCCCACTCGTTGAGCACAGTATTCTGGAACTGCTGCGTGTTGAGCTCAACAATGGCAGGGTCAAGAGGGTTGTTGCCAGATGGGAGGAAGGCTGGCTCCTGCATGCGCTCCTCGCCCAGGATAACCGTCAGTCTATCATTGATAAACCTCTGGCGCTCCTCAGGAGTCTCTGTCACGACTGGCGTTTCCGCCACTTTCTCGGGTGATTTTGAAGCAGACGGGGTAACGGGGCGAGCAGGTCTGCTCTTGAGCCATGCGGCGTGTTCCTCACGACGCTGGGCCTCTTGTTGCTCCTGTAGACGCCACCGCCTAGTATTACGTTCGGCTTCGCGGCGCTCAAACTCCTCAACGTCCTCCTGACGGGTAAGAAAGACTTTCAGCTTCCTCTTACTCTCGGCGTGACGTTGCTTCCAGATGCGGCCCTTGGCAATGGAGCGTGACTTCTTGAATTTGTCAATGGCGGCCATTGAGGCCTTCAGCTTAGGGATCACCCGCCCCATCAGCTGAAAGGGCTCAATACTAGACATTACTCTGTTCGTAATATTGGTTAGACCCATCAAGGACTCCTTGACAACGCTTGCCTTGGGCTCGGCCCTCGAAATGACCTCATTCCCTAGATTAGTGGTGGACTCCGTGACGACGCGCACGTGCGTCTCGGCATGCAGGAGGACCTCATCTTTGTGGATCTGAGCCTTTTCTTTGACCACGCGGCTGATTTTGCGGATGAAATTCATGGTGATGTGAGTGTTGATGTTGATATACAGTTGGGTGGTAGCACTAGATGGTTCAGTTAAAGAGATGTAAGGGGTGATCTTCTTACTGAACGCGTTCGAGCGCTGTGAGTTAAGTATTAGTTACAATCTATATTTTCGGTTTGAACTCTTGGAACTTAAGTAGGTATCCGGTAGAGACTGCGTGTTTATCGTTCTGATCAAGAGCGCGGGTGGTTTCTATATGCAAAAGGATCGTGCTGGTGACCAGTGGAAGATTATGGCGGGATGTCGTTGGTCTATGGGGAATAGTTTCCAAATGAATACGGAATTTTATGGAACGGTTAGTATATAGATGATGGGGCATAGCAGTGGTCGTGCGCGTGAACAGGTGGGTGACAGTGTAGGGGACAAAGAAGCTCTGTGTGAGGTATTGACTACGTCTATGACTGGCTATTGCTTTGTCGGTGACAAAGGCGGTCTGGCAATGTGTGGAGAGAACTATCGCCATTGTTCCGTGGCAAGACAAAAAGCAGCTACACAACGTCAATCTGCGTATTGCGAGATGATGTTGCCAGAAAGTTTCTCTACCAGCTGCACAATGCAGTCATAGCCATTCAAAGACTTTATACTGTGCATAACCTGCTGTAGGGAATACACATGTATTGAAAAAGGTATGAGATGAAGTGACGTGATAGACTATAGTATGTGGATCATGACTGTATGAGAGAGTGGAAGAGAAGAGTGCTCAGCAACGCGGTATTTCCACCTCGCAGTTGATAAGCAGCATAGACGCTGTCGGAAAACGAATAAGCAATATGTGGATAACTGAGACACGATCTTGAACAAACATTGAACTACATTTGCCATCTGAATCAGGGCGAGACACAGCGATAACAAGTCTAAGTCTTCCAATGCTAAGTAAAAGAAATAGAAAGCACTAACTAGGCATCATACTAACGCGTCTATGTCAGCCCGACTGATCTCAAACCAAGCGCGTAGGCTATCCTGTTCCCCCAAGGGGACTGCGTTGGTGTAATGAGCAATGGTACTTTGACTGCACCTACCAGGAATCACGTAGAAGATAAGACCAAACCCTACAAAAAGTCAACATAAAACCTCAAACATAAAAGCCCCAAGAAACCCACCTCCACCTCCACTTCCTCAGGGGCAACCCCATACAAACCACCACCACCCAGCAACACGTCAGCCGTCAGGGGTTCGCCTAAGTTAAACAACCCACACCCGCGGACCTCCCCCGAAAAAAAGCCCAATCACATGCGCATAAACCCAAACCCAGCCGTCACATCCAGTCCAGACCGCCTCCTGCGTGTGCCAACACTGAAGTCTCGATCTCGAACACCGGCATGCCATCGCATCCACCACATCGCCATCTGACAGGCAGTCAGCCAGCCCTGCCTCCAACCCTGCAGCGGGCGCTACTGCCAAGCCCCTGCGCCTCTTCATATCAACGGTACGGATCGAGAAGCACGGTCCACCAGTACCTCGTTGAACTAACGAAATGGGAAACGCAAGTGTGGCGCGGCGCTTAACCACACCTACGTAGAAGGAGATTTGTTAGTGATGCTGTGGTATGTACATGTACCCTGCTGGTGCCTAGGCCGGATGATCGTAGTGGTTTGACGGCCAGACAGTCTTGTACGTAAGTTAAAACAACCCTGGTGAACAGAACAGGACCATCGTAAGTTAGCTGCCACCTGCCCTGCCCTGCCCGCGCGTGGTGAAATACAAACGCAAACTTAACGCAAACGCACGCACAGTCCCCCCCTTTTATTACGCACACACGCGGTTGAGAGCTCGAGAGAGTGAACACGCAAGCTCGATGGGGAGGTTCCTGCGTGAAAAAAGGCTTGGGCGAGCCTCTTTGTGGCAATTTTGTGGCGCTGTGAACCAGGGAGCCATTGCCGAACACCCGCGTTGGCGCAGTAGGTGCTAGGCGCAAAAGGGTCATAGCAGAGTCCAAGCCTACACACGGCTTGGTATTGATGCAGGCAAAGGAGAGGGCACGAGGGCGGAAAATCAAGTTTGTTTCTAACTAACTATATGGGATAGGGTAGGGAATGGGGGTAGGTGGAGGAGGGCTCGTGCTTTATTCATCATTATGGGGTCTTATTTGCAGAAAGGCAGGTTTCTTTCCCATTTCACCTACCTACCTACGTACGCGGTTACTTTCGTTTACCTTTCCCCTGCGTTCATCGTCGTCATTCTCTTCTTTTCTATTGTCTTCTCTTCTTCTTCTTCTTCTTCTTCTTCTTCTTCTGACTTGCCGATTAATTGCTTTGGACGGCTATCTACTATCACCTCTACACACCCTAGTCACTCATTCGCCCTCCAAGGCCCTCTACTCTACTTCGCGATACCATACCCTTAATCCACTAAAACGCCTAATCATGAGACTCCTTCTCCCCTCTCTCCTCGCTCTCATCAGCGGTGCCAGCCTCGCCGTCGCCCAACAGCGCTGCGACGTCCCCTCCCCAGGCGTCTACTGCAACACCACCGACATCCTCGCCTACCAGACCACCGACTGCAAGCCCTTCCACATCTTCGTCGTCCGCGGCTCCGACGAGCCCTACCCCGGCCGTCTAGGCAACCTCACCAAGCAAATCTGCGACGAAATCGGTGGCTCCGACGCGTGCGGCTTTGAAAATGTAGAGTACCCCGCGAAGAGCACGGCGTGGGGCCAAGGCGTATGGTGCGACTCTGCCAGCAAAGGCGCTGCAAACGGCCAAGCGCAGATGAAGGACTACAACGCAAATTGTCCCGACTCCAAGTTGATTGTGCTGGGTTTCTCGCAGGGAGGGTCCGTGGCGCAGGATATGCTCAGCGGGGGTGGTGGTGAGGTGTTTGCTTGCAAGCAGGATATGAATCCAGCCTTGGACCCTGGTCTGGCTGCTAAAGGTAAGCGCAAGCGCGTCTCTCTCTCCAGCGCTTGACGTCACACTGCCCCTCTGTCAATTGATCTCCCACTAACTTCGTCACCGTGCAGTTGTCGCGGCTGCTACGTTTGGCGCCGTCGTCCGCTCGCGAGACCAGGATTTCACCGTCGGCCAGGGCGTCAATTATGATGGGACGAGTCCTCGTGCGCCAGATCATCTCAAGGCTTTAAACACCTTTTCCGATCGCTTCCTCGATTACTGCCACTATGGTGATCCTATTTGCGCGGTGGGGTCCCTGCCTGCAAGCGTCGAGGAGCACTTGAATTACTTTGTCAAACATAATGCTCAGGTTATTGAGTGGGTCGCTGCCATGGCCAAAGTCGGTGCTGGTGATGCTAGTGCGAAGCCGAGCAAGCCCATCCTCGCCGTTTCTCCTTGGTCAACGAGTGTTGCTGCTAGACCTGCTGCCGCGACTGGATCCGCTTCTGCTACTCCTTCACTTATCGGCACTATGAGCGTGACACGCTCCAGCTCCAGCGCGAGTGCAACGCAGACGAGTCTCACTGGCGCTGCTCCCTCTCTGGGTGCTGCGTTGGGATACTTGATGGCCATTCCTCTTGCTGTGGTTGTCTTGTAAAGGCACTTCGCAGTATACTCACCTCAATTGAGTGCGAGATACGGACAGAGACCAGCAAAATGTATAATACCGAACAAAGCATGAACCAAATGCAAATATGGAGTTTGGAGTGATGGAACATGGGAATTGGAATTAGATACCCATTAACCTCTAAACATCTAATCATTATCATCGTTATTTGTAATATACAGTGACGGCTCGTTCTAAGAAAATGTCTCAAGCCGATGGGAAGCCCAACTCTACCAGAGAAGCGCCTTTATGCTGTGTAAAAATTGACGAGAGCGAAATTACAAGAGACCAATGGTCCTCTGCTTCATGGTCCTGACGTCAACGTTCTGCCAAAGGGCAACGCTGAACAGAGTCATGCAGTAGACGCACACAGCCGAGATGAGCATGTACTTTTGTGTCTGACCGTAGCTGAGGTTGATGGCATCGCGAGCGGGGCTTCCAACAGGGTAGCCGGATTGTACGTCGATGTTACCGTAAATATTTGTGATGTTGTCGAGGGCGCTCGCGGGCAGATTCGCCTTGAGACGAGCAGGGAAGACACCAGTCCAGATGGCACCAGCGACGGTGGAGCCGATAGCACTACCGATCGCAATAATCATCGATTCGACGGCGAGAAGAGCAGGGAAGTCCTGTTGCTTGGACACGGCCATGAGAGTGGTTTGTTCCGAGACGACGAGAACACCGCCACCAAACGAGATGAAGAGCATGCACATGACAATGTAGCCAATGTTCTCGTCGGGCTGGCGGAACTTGATCATGAGACCAACACCCAGCATTGTAAGAGGTACGCCCCAGAACAGAGAGTAAATCTTGAGCTTTCCGTAGTAGCGCAGGGCAACACCATACAAGATGCAGATGAAGCAACTGCCCATGGTGTAGATGTTGGCAATCCATGTGGCGTGTACGGGCGTCTGGTTGAACAAGACAACAAGCAGCGAGTAAAAGTACGAGTCCCAGCAGTACCAGCCAATGTACAGCGAGCCAGCCATGGTGTATGTGAAGATGACAGTTCGGTTCTTGAGCAGAGGCCATGGGATGAATGTGACTGTGGCACCATACTTCTCCCAAAGACCAAACGCAACAATCAAGAGCGCGCCGAAAACAAGGAAGCAGATGATCAGAGGTGATTTCCACTCATCGGCCTGGTAGGTGTAGATGTTGAAGGCAACGAGGAAGAGCGACAGTCCAGTAGCCAGGATCAAAAGGCCGACGGCATCGAACTCGCGGAGGTAGTACACGACTGTCTGGCCAAAGTTACCCCGGCTTGGTCGTGGTTTGATGAGACCCTGCTTGCGTGCTTTGCCCTCGTAAATCACAAACAAGGCGATGAGAGGCGAGCAGACAATAGGCGCGAGGATTGCAAATATACCAAACGCCCATCGGAAGCCAATGCCACCAGGAGCTATAATGCCATTGACACCATAGCCGTAGATCCAAGTGGTAACAAGCCAGGGAGAGGATGCGTACGAGATGAAGAGGGCTCGGTTCTTCAGCTTGGAGGTATCGGCAATGAAGACAGTAACAAAGAAGTTGATACTGTTATAGCCGACGTAGAAAAACGTCTGGGCGGCGCAGTAAGCCTTGACGTTGTTGCAGGATGCCATCAAGACAAGGCCAACGACATAGATGGCCACACCGAGGCAGAGACCAAAAGGTCGGCCCCAGATGTTGAGGATTTTGGCATAGGGGAGCTTCCAGATACCAGCGACAATTGACGAAATAACAGTAGTCAGAGCGGTCAAGGAGTGTTTGTTGAAACTGCTGGTGACGTATGGCGAGAGGGTACTGGAGGTGCTGGAAGTATAGGCGGTGAAGAACTGGATGAACCACATGCTGGAGAGTCTTAGTAACGTATACTGAAGTATCAAAATAGGGTGAACTTACAACATGTAGGCCAGCATCAAGTCTCTCTTCTTCCAGATGAGAGAGGCAGCCTGAACAGCCTGCACACCTTGTTCGGCGGTAGTGTCGACCTTGTTCAGCTCCTCATCAGAGTCATTGCTCATCGGGGAAGACCTTGGGCTACCCAGCTTCTCGTCAGGACGAGAAACATCCATGCTGGTGTGTCCCTGGAACGAAGCGGGGACGTCGGCGACATCTTTGTTGTCAGCGTAAGCGGAGGCCTTGTTGCCAGAAACCAAGGCACTGCTGGTCAATCCCTTGAAAGTGAAACCCATCTTGAGAATTGTTGGTAGAGGACAATTCCAACATCAGGAGTGAAGGGAGATGCAGAGATTGATAAGACAAGCACCCCCGCGAGCTGCAAGCTTATATAAAGCAAGAGCGATGCACTCGGACATGACGGTCCACTGCAGTGCATCCTGTCGTTCCCGGTTGTTGGCTCCTGGTCAATGGGTTGGTAAATAGCGCACTAGCTCTCCACAAATGAGGAATAGTGTTTGCTCTTTGCAGTTGGTCCTCCGGGGATAAGCTCACCGAAGCTCGGCGGAGAAATCTTATCTCGATAATCAATCGGCATCAGCGACGGGGGTGGGGCCAATGGGTAGTGGCCGTGGCGTGACGTGTGGGTTATCAGATGAAAATTCTGCATCTAATCAGATCAGATGGGAAGCCGCCAGTCGCGACATGCAGCCTCCATGGAAGCTCACCCCATCATCGTGGCTTGCTGTTCCGGCCTGCATTCGTTAAGCGGGGCACCACAGCAGTAGGACATGAGCTGAGGGCTACGACGGCAGCTGCTATCTTAACCTTGCCTTCACGGCGTTCCCGATGCTACTCGACAGCTTCTTCCGACCTGGTGGACCTGTCCGGCATTGGCGCCTTTTGTTACTCCATGGCCGTACCGTAGTGGCAGTGTCAGAGGCCAAAAAAGTTTTCTTGGGAGGGGAAATAAGCATTCCAGAAGCAAGTCTTTGCAGGCATTCTGCTCCTTCCTATGTGCGCCAAGTTGGTGTCCCATCTACAGGTACGTACAGGACGGATGCAGGGCCAGATGACTTGGTGTAGGTGGGGTTGATGTCAGCATTAGAGAGGTGGAGGCACATGGCATTGTTAATACGTATCTCAGCCGTATTCGTGGGATTGTAGCAGTAAGAGTTGAGTCCTGAGTCGTCTGGTCGTGAATCCATCGGCCTTCAAGTCGGAGACGGTTGATGCGGCACAGGTTCGAGTGACAGCATGCTTGGCTACCGATACTCGGAAGGAAATTGACTTGTATACGTTCCTCGCGCACGAGCGTCCTGCGTAGGATGGTGTCTCCAGCAGTCATGGTTTCGCCAATCTGACTGCCCAGTCTAATCATTGGTCTTCGCAGATGAGTCCTAGTTACTACAGGACCTCTTTGTTCCATGTACGGTCCATGTTGAAGCTCTTGAGTGAGAGAATCGATATCTACAGGCTTTGGTTGTTCTCTCCAAAATGTCCATTGTATATTCGATTGGCTACCTGCCTTTGTTCCGGTTTGTGTTGTTGAGCTGGGTGATGCGCCCCCCCCCCTCATCCGTCGGCCATTAACCAATGCCATGTCTCATAGCAACGTGCGAATGGGTAGCTGTCATCGTATGCGGAAGACGGGTCTATTTCCCAAGAGGGCTGACGTGGTCTTGCTTCGGGCAATGCCCGTACTTGTTATTCCGCTGCATGCCGTCGAAGTAAAAGAAGCCATCATCGACGCATATACTGTGGCTGCATTTGTTTGTATATTAGCAGCAGGCATACCATGATATACTCTCAAGGCCGTTGTGTCATGGAGTATCACAGCCGAAGATGAGTCACGTGTCTTGTATGACGTTGCCAAGGCATTGCGCGTTGGCCGCGTCCAAAGCGCTTACATTGTGCATTACTCATCGTGTAATATGCATAGGCACTCTAAAGTCCAGCCGCTCCTTGTCAAACAATCGTACGCGACAGCCATCAATGTACGAGATCATGAAGATAAAGATTGCCTGGCTCGGGTATACCATGCAGGAGGCCAAGCGCGCAACAGCCAGGGGCGAATGGAACATCGCACCGCCTCATCCTATTGTTCCGTCCCATCCCATCCCATCCCCATTGCTGAGAGAGGGGTATCGCGACTTCCGCCTCCACTACAACTATGATCGTATTGTCTGTGCCTTGAATCTCTCTCTCTTTTCAATGCGCTACGTGTGCAAATTGAATCCCGAGGTTTGAGTTTGGCTATAGATGCTTCGACGCCACGATGCCGCATTTGACGCCCTCACGCATCGCCATAACCATCGTCGCTTTCTCCCTCTTCACCTTCTTCTGGACATTCGGATTGCCTAGCCAGACCGGGGAGCCTTCGCTGCCTGTGATAGACCACTACAACCACAAAAACGTGCACACCGACCCTATAATACCGCCTCCAGTCATCGAGACGCCACCCACGACACCGACCACGCCGACACGGGAATCGCACGTACCAGCCAAGGCGACACAGGACGGAAATGGGCAGGCAACAGCTTCTGCATCGAGCACAACGGGTATCGCCGAGTTTGAAAAAGATGGTGGAAGATGGGAAGATGCGATCAAGAGTACGAACGCGGCCAGTGCGACACTAGCATCAGCGACAGACATAGCCGCCGAAGCCGACACTGCGCCTGTGGCTCAGAAGTTTTGCAGGGACGTTCGCGGTGCACCACACGTCATGGTCGTACTCAAGACGTCCAAGGCCGAAATCGACAAACTATCCACCCACCTCCGTAACCTCTTATCATGCGCACCCCACTTTGCCATCTTCAGCGACCACGCCGGTGAGTTCCAGGGTCACAAAGTATACAACGCGCTCGAATCCATCAGCGAGGAGGCCAAGATCAAGCACGATGAGTTCAAGGAATACCAACTCATGCAAGCAGACCCGGAGCACAAGCCTGACCCGAAAAAGACAAAGGCGTTGGAAAAGTGGAAGTTCCTGCCCATGGTGTACAAGGCCTATCATTTGAATCCCCATATCAAGTTTGCCGTTTTCATCGAGGCAGACACGAGCTTGAGCTGGTCGAACCTGCTGCAATGGATCAACAGGCTGGACTACCGGATACCATACTACAGCGGAGCTCCTTCATTCATATCCAGCGTTCAACTGGCGCAACGCGGGCCCGGCATCATGTTATCTCAGGGTGCCCTACGGCGATTTGCAAAATCTTACGATGAACTATACATGACAAAATGGGAAAAGAACGTCGGCGAGGAATGCTGCGGCGACTTGATGCTAGCCAAAGCTCTTGGTGACGCACACGTCGAATTCTATGCCTCATGGCCCCTTCTCCAAGGCGAGCGTCCAGAAACCCTGGATTACTCGAAGAAACAATGGTGTGTACCTGCCATATCATGGCACGGTATCAGCGGCGACGAGCTGGTCCGTCAATGGGGAATTGAAAGAAAGTGGATCAGTAAGCACGGCTGGGAAACGCCATATCTGTTCCGCGACGCCTTTCACGATTCCGTGCAGCCACATATTGAAACTCGAAAAGCAAACTGGGATAACTTGAGTCAGGACACCAAGATAATCGCACCACAAGGACGACAGCAAAAGCTCAAGGACGATGCTGCTAAGAAAGCACAGTCAGCAATCGAAAAATCCGCACCAAAGGAAACAGGAAAGAACACTGGCGGGGAAAAAATCAACGACACCAAGAAACCCGACACCACCAAAATCGACCACAAAGCCGACATCCTCCAAGAAGCCGGCACCCCTCCCACCAAATCCGAAGAAACAAAGATGCAGAAAAGAGAGGACAGTGTACCAAACTGGGACAAACTCCCCGAGAAAATCGCCGACGCGGCCGACAGTGTCGACGCATGCCAGAAAGCTTGCGAAGCTGTTGCAGACTGCCTACAATGGCGGTACACGGGCAAAGGTGATGGAGAGTGCCACTTGAGCAAGGTGCTGAGACTAGGTGGGCCCGTTGGAGATGGCAAGTGGACGAGTGGGTGGGTGACGGGTCGTATTGATGAGGTTACCAAGGAGTGGGAGTGTAAAGAGGTGAATTGGAAGTTTTATCAGTGAGATGTGTAACCCCTACACATGGGGTTTATTGGAATAAGTGTACAGAATGAGAGGGAAGTTTAGGTGGCTTTTAGGCTACAGAGAGTTTGGGAATGATGGGCTGTTCGCAGCAACTGTCGTTTTCTTGTAAGCGCGGTTCTTTACTTGTGGCTGTATACCCTTTTAACCAGCCGGTTTATGTTGTATATGAAAAGTATTGGAACAAGGTCTCCTCTGGTGGTATGACTACCATAGGGAACCGAGTAGAGGTATGTTAGGTCACCACGTATTGGATTGAACTACACTAAGAGCTGTTGTTCTGTCTTCTTATTATCATGATGATCTGGGGATTTACATGACAGATCATCATTCCGCGTCGGTCCTTCTGCTCGGGCTTACTTCCACGAGCCTCATCCCCGCCGACCTGGACTGAACCTTACATCTTCTCAACACTCCCCCTCAGGGCAGGTCCGGTCTAAGGACAACTCCTAATTGGTTCTTGAATTTCTCGAATGCGACTCGCTGCAACGGCTTTGTCATTCCATCAGCCACCATATCTACAGTTGGCACGTAGGCCACGTCGAGTTTACCTTGTTCTGCTAGGTCTCTGATAAAATGATAACAGACGTCGATGTGCTTTGATCTTTCGTGAAGGTGAGGGTTCTTTGTAAGTGCAATGGCACCCTGGTTATCTCCTAGCATCTGGACCTTGTTGGTGTCTTTTCCAATGTACTTTGGGAACCCAAGATCTCTGAACATTTGAGCAATCCACTGGCCTTGCTTACAGCATGTTGATAGTGCGATGTATTCAGATTCGCAGCTTGACGTTGCAACAGACCGTTGCTTCTTGCTAGACCATGATATTGGACCTCCGTAGAACATTGCAGTGCTCCCTGAAACGCTCTTTCGGTCTACCATGTCGCTTGCCCAGTCAGCATCAGAGTAGATGACAAATTGCGAGTGTACTCCCCCTGGTCCGTAGCGTAGCTTCATTGTTACTGTCGACCTTAGATATCGTAGCAGGTTCTTCAACGCATGGCCATGATGTTCTGCTGGATCGCTCATGTATTGGCTTAGCTTTCCGAGGGTGAATGCAATGTCTGGGCGTGTAAGAACCATAGCAAACATAAGGCTCCCTATCACTTGCTGGTATTCAGTGATGTCGATTCGGGTGTCGTTGTTAGTGGCTGGCCTAAATGACGTGTAATCTGCGGATGGAATCTTCTTGTCTCTGTGTTGTTTGCTAGACATTCCAAACTTGTCAAGTACTGCGTGTATGTACTGTTCTTGATCGAGGTAGATTGTGCGGCGCTTTCTGTCTCGCGTAACTCGTACTCCAAGGATCTTATGAATCTCCCCTAGGTTCTTGGTGTTGAATCTTCCAGAAAGCTTCTTGTAGAACCAATCAATTTGAGCTCGATCTTTTGCGGCAACAGCAATGTCGTCAACGTAGACGAGGATACGGAGTTGTTTTTCTTCGTGGATAAACATGCACGGGTCGGCAAGGCTTTGCACGAATCCCCATGCCAGAAGTTCTTTCTTTATTAACAAGTTCCAGTCACGAGCAGCTTGTTTGAGTCCATATAGGCTGCGGAGAACTTTAAGGACGTATCCTTTCTTAACTTCTACTCCCTGGGGTTGCTTAAGAAAGATCTCTTCCTTCAAATGCGACTCTGTGAAAGCATTCTTGATGTCAAAGTGAAAACATTCTAGGTTTTCCGCTGCGACAGTGGCCATAAACAGACGTAAGGTGTCCATGCGAACTGTCGGGGCGAAAGTCTCGTTGTAGTCTGTTCCGTGTACTTGCGTAAAACCTCTTGCCACAAGGCGTGCCTTAAACCTCTCAACAGTCCCGTCGAGATTTGTTTTGACTGTAAAAACCCACTTTGAATCAACCATGTTCGCGTCTTTTGGCTTTGGAACTTCCTCCCAGGTTCGATTCTCCATTAACGCGATTATCTCTTCAAGTATTGCTGCTTTCCATTGCTTTCCATACTTTGGGTCGTTGATAGCTTGCTCGTGTGTCTGGGGGATCTGGATTCCTGCGATCTCGGTTGCTGCAAAAGCCTTCTCAGATAGTCGTGTTTGCTCTTCTATAAGGCCAGCTTGGGCTAGCATAGCTTTAACGATCTTGCTAAATCTCTCGTCCTCAACAACCTCTTCGTTAGACCTCTTTCGTTTGGCTTGTCTGGTGAAGTATCGTGGAGCCTCCTCTTCTCGTACAGACTGGGTATACGGTTCTTCGGGTCCCTCTTCGTCCACAAGATTAGGAACCCGCTCATCAGATGGTGCAGTAGGGGGAATAGTCGTTAGCTTCCCTGGTCTTCCTCTGTGACGCTTAACTGGTTCGGGAGTTAGCTCTGCCGACGACAGTTCTATTGGGTTCTCGGGAACTGGCTCCACTATTTCTGCAGGAGATGGTTCCATTGGTTCGACAGGAGATGGTTCCATTAGTTCGACAGGAGATGGTTCCATTAGTTCGACAGGAGATGGTTCTATTGGTTCTGCAGGAGATAGTTCCATTGATTTGGCAGGAGGTGGTTCCATTGGTTCTGCAGGAGATGATTCCAGATCCTTCCTAGGTCTTCCTCTTGGTTTTCGGTCTGGCATCGTATTCTGCGTCCCTTGTGGTCCAGCTGGTATGTTTCGCAGTCGTAGTTCAACTTTTCCTCCAGGGGTGTATTCGTCCACTGATAATCGGCTTGTCCTTGAGGTGTATCCAAGCTCTGGCGAATAGAACTTGAACTGCTTGTTTGTTGTCTCAGAATATCCCATGAATACTCCAACTCTGCCACGGTCCACGAGCTTGTCATGTCGTTGGTCTGCTGGAATCGTTTTGGGGTTGATGTAAGAATAGCATTTGCTCCCCCATACACGGATGTGGTCAATGGATGGTTTCGTTCCTGTGAATGCCTCTTCAGGACTGACTTGCTTTCCATTGATCGTGGGTCCTGTGTTTGTGCGGTTTCGCAGGTATGCGTCTGCTTCGACAGCTTCATCCCAAAACTCAATTGGTAAACCAGCGTCTTTCAGCATTGCTCTCATATCAGCTTCAGCGGTTTGGATGTTTCGCTCAGCTGGTCCATTCTGGTGTGAGGAAGCAATTGTTGTAGGCTGAATTTCCACGCCCTGTGTAACTCTCCATTCCTCGGCTTGCTGTAGAAGTTCTGGTGCGTTGTCAGTTCCAGCAGCTTTAACCTTTTCGCCAGTTTGATGTTCTACAAAGGTCTTCCAGATTTGGAGTTCCCTTTGTGCGTCTCCCTTTTTCTTCAGCGGGATAACCCAGTTTTTTCGCGTGTAACTGTCAATAATAAGGAGGAACCACCTGTTTCCTCGCAGAGATGTTGGAAAGGGTCCTGCAATGTCAAACTGTACTAAGGCTAGCTTCGTGGCCTTATGCTCTCTCAGCTGCTTAGGGATGCTGTTCTTCATTTTCGTCAGAGAACACACTTCGCAGATTTCTATCTTCTCTGGAACTTGAATCTTCTTCTGGAGAGTTGTAACTTCGTGGAGTTTAGCAATCTTTGCAGGTCCTAGGTGTGCGAAGCGTCTGTGATACAGCAAGTATCTCTCCTTTTCATTAACCTTAAGCTCGCTCTTAACTGGTGCATGGAGTTCCGTGCCTAGAAATGCTGTTTCTTGGTATCCATCGGCAATGTGTGACACTACGTAGAGGCCGTCGTCCATAGTTGCTTCAATAATAACCTTCTTTCCTAGTTTGAAGTATAGTGCGTGTGAATTGAAACGACCCTTCAGGCTTGCTGCGCAAATTCTTCTTCCTGATAACAAATTGACTCCAAGGTTAGGTACAAGCAGTACTTCTGACAGCCATGTCGACGATCCATCCTTACACACCACTTGAGCTTCTCCTTTCCAGTCCGCATATAATTCTCCCCCTCCAACCCGAACGACTCTTCGTTTGATCTTAATCATTCGTCTAAATAATGAGGGTTGGTCAGACATGTGAGAGGATGCGCCAGTGTCGGCAGCCCAGGTAGATGGAGAGGCCTTACCGACGATGTCTTTTGAGAGACGGCATGTCTCAATTTCCTCGGGTTCGGAGTCTGAGGTCTCAGATAATTCATCTGACTCTGAATTGACTTCTTCGGCTCCATATGCTTTGCCAGTCCTTTTGTGGGAATTCCTTTGCTTAGGTGTCTTAACGAGCAGCTTAGATGATTTCTTAGCGTCGTATTCCTTAAGGAGCTTTCGAGCTCTCTCACGTCTTGGGCAGTCTCGTACGCCATGGGCTCCATCACAAAGGAAGCATTGGACCGTGAATTTGGCACCAGATTCGGAGTCAGACGATAGTGGCGAGTTCTTATGATTTCGACGCCTGTAAGGCGGAACATACTTCTCCGTCTTTCGGAATGCTGGAAGAGCTTTTTCGTTGGCGTCTTGCTGGTCTCGAACCTCCTTCTCTTCCAGAAACTTAAGTTTCTGTTCAACCGTGAGGTTAAGTTGGGCGTTTAAGGTGTCAATCGTAGTCTTGAATTCTTTCGGAAGTGATCTGATAAGAACGAGTAGTAGTGCAGAGTCCTTGTAAGCTCCGTTGGTGTCGGCGTCTGCTGCTACAAGTTTACGTCGGTAGTCCTTTAGCTTCTCCCATGATCCAACAATCGTGTTCCCGGGATTAAATGTGAACGTTTGAATTCTAGTCATGTATATGTTGGCAGTTGTGGCGTCAGTTTGGGTGTACTTCTTTTGTAGGTAGGCCCAGAATTGGAAGGCAGTATCGTATTCGTCAATGAGGGCTTGGTCATCCTCGCTAAGCGACCGAAACAAGAGATCGATTGCAGTGGCTTCATCTTCTAGGTACTTGTCTCTTTTTTCAATGTTGACGCGGATCTTGGTATGCTTGTCTGTTTCAGCAATTTCCAACTCTTCCATAGCCTCCGTTAGTCTACTAGCTGTTGCTATTTGACAGTGCTGTACCAGATTTTTCTCGCAGACATAGAAGACTTTCTTCCCCTTAAGCTTGACCTTGTTTCGGCGAAACCAAGTATCGTGGTTTTCGGCTGTGAGCTGGGGGATCTTCCATTCTTCCTTCTCTGCAGCCATCTTGTGCGGGTGATGCGGTTGATTCGGGCGATGCGGGCGATGCGGGCGATGCGGGCGATGCGGGCGATGCGGGCGATGCGGGCGATGCGGGCGATGCGGGCGATGTTCTGCGGGTGGTGCAGTCGTTATCGGTTCTCGAGCGTGGAGACGGTGTGTGTAAGTATGGTTGCGTGTCAACCGCGTTGTACACGACTTTTTCTCTTTTCCGATTCCTGCTTGAATCTAAGTCCTTCGTGACTTGGGTGAGTGTTTTTGATTCCTTCTCGAATCTAAGTCCTTCGTGACTTGGTTAGGTGTTTAAAACCAATAACGTTGGGTTAGGCAACCGGGCTCATAACCTATTGGAACAAGGTCTCCTCTGGTGGTATGACTACCATAGGGAACCGAGTAGAGGTATGTTAGGTCACCACGTATTGGATTGAACTACACTAAGAGCTGTTGTTCTGTCTTCTTATTATCATGATGATCTGGGGATTTACATGACAGATCATCATTCCGCGTCGGTCCTTCTGCTCGGGCTTACTTCCACGAGCCTCATCCCCGCCGACCTGGACTGAACCTTACATCTTCTCAACAAAAAGAAATATCATGCAAGCCAAGTTTTTTTTCTTGCGAGTGGTATACCATGTTGCACATGAAAAGACACCAACCAGCAAATTCAGTTTCCAAGACATGTATGTAATCAATTGAAAAAGAAATATAACATCCAAGTCATCTGTCCACGTACATCAAGGGTCAAAAAACGTAATAAAACGTTGCGGGGGGGTATTGTATCCCAAAGCCATCATCCATCATCTCTCTCTCTCCATCAATCATATTATCTTCTCAGCGTGAAAAAAAACATCCAGCAAAGTGGTAGGGAAAAACCGCTTATCTAGCTTTCCAAGCTGATTCAATATCGCCGTAAACGCCGGTCGTAAATGCCAAGTATATATCGTCTTGTAGAGAAGGTTTTATCCCACATCTACCCTTCTGGTTTTTGTCGGTATGTGTATTTGTATATTTGTTTGCGATATCGTCGGTGTCGGTATCGTTCGGCATCGTGTGTAGTCGTCATATTTTATCGTTTGTCCTGAATCCACGTATAGAGGTGTACGCATCGTTTACACATTCTCAGTCATATCCGACACCGACGATGCGGTGCCGCCGACGGCCATGCGCGTTTGGAGGTAGTAGATTCCGTATGCGATTGCGGCGATGAGGATAAAGAGGATGAGGATGATGAGGAAGATGACGATGTTGCGCTTCATGGTTGCGGTGTTTGTGTGGTGAGTTGAAGGGTTGGAGGTGAAGATGCGGTGAGTGGGAGACTAGGGGGGAGAATGTAAGTTAAGAGTTTTTTTTTAAAAAAAAAAAAGGGAGAGAGAGGATATATGCATACCCGATGAATTCCTTCTTCTTTACAAAGTTCAAGTCAGGTTAAACCCGAGTATCGCAGTCTTGCCAATGTAGCAAGTTCAAGTCGTGAGATTGAACTAAACACTTACCTACCAACAACAACAAATTTCTCTCAACCAAGAAGAAGTTAATTGATGCAAGTAAGTAGTAGTAAAAAAATGTTCAGGTATGCAAGCCAAGGTATGTGTGTAGTTTGTGTATATCCAGCTTCACTCCAGGCGGCATGCAAGCTACTTTTGTACAGACGTGGCGGGGTGCGTGCACAAAGGTGGTTGGGCGGGACCGCGACATGGTTGGAGGGGTTGGGGAGACGACGCGCCGCGTGGCTGGACTGCTGTCGGTGAGGCTGGATGCGAAACGCGCGAGGAGATTTGATTTTAATCAGGGCGGTGGTGACGTGGTGCAGATAAGATGTGTTCTTGTGGGTTGTGTGTTGTCTGTGTGTTGATGGGGTGGTGCGTGGGTGGTGCGCGGTCATGTGCACAGGCGTGTCTAGGGAGTTGCGGACGTGCTGAGATTCTCCTACAATACAATTAAGGAACGATTGAATTACTATTAATGGCTTAATCGCATAGCCGCACATGTTCAATCGGTTTGGTTAAGAGATGGAAATATGCTTCGTCAATGGGATCGCTCGGCACATTCCCTCGAACAGGGCCAGCTTGGCAGGTACCCGTCACTAGCACTAGCAAACTCCCGCAGTGCATGCGTCCGCCGACGATCTAAGTCTTCCAGGGTCTACTACAGCATGCACTGTTCAAAGATTTACCTTTGTACTGAAAGTCTGGCTCAAAACACGTGTACCTCCCCGACTTGTCACCGTGTTGGAAAGGAACAGGACGCAAGGGCTCTTTTCGTTCAAGGGATTCAATCTGGAATTTAGCATAAAAACCTGTTTTTTTTCAACTTCAAGGATATATGATAACTCGTAGGAAGGCTATGGAGTTGGAGGTCTGTATGCATTCTTGAGCTCCTGATACAGAGTACATGATCGTAACTTGCATCTCGGATCGGTCGTATACCTCGTACCAGTACACCGTTCAAGAATCAGTTAGTCACAGTTAAAAGAACATACCAAGATCCAGTCGTGTGATGGCTTGCAGATTGGGGGTGTTCTGAAAAGCACGCGACTGGAAATCCACCCCTGCCCCGATGATACAGGATACTGCTTTCACGCACTCTTCACTATTTTACTTTGTTAGAAACACGCTATCCTGGCCAGCTACTCAGGTCAATCGAAGAGCTGGAGTCGTGAAATTCGGCAAAGGTTAGAATACGAAGGCATACTGAATTGTTTGAACTATCACGTCAACTTCGGCATTGCCCGAGCTCTTTCCTATTATATACATATTTCCCTGTATATAGTTGCCGCCATAACCGGCCCGTTGTGTTACTTCAAGACAACCCTGACATTGCCATCGGGTCAGTACCCGCGCATGGAACGTCTAGTGGGATCGGACATGAGCAGTGAACTAGGGCGCGTCTATCTCCGCACTTATATAATCCAGTGGACCCGTGAATCTGCCATGTTCTTTGCCGAAGAAGCCTTTCCACCTGATACGCCTACTGTTACCATCATCCCGTACTCTCTTTTCTATTACTCTGTTATCAATCCATCACACAGCTTGAACAAACCCAAAAAAAAGATAAGTTTACTTACAATCACTTTACTGCGGACTATAGTTTTTTACACCGGACTATCTGCCTACCATGGGGCGTTTATTCAAACACCTCTTCACCACCACTACTTTCCTTACGGCCGTCACTGGCGAAACAAACCATCTCCAACTACGTTCTCTGAAGCCACAGATTCTCGGTTCTGTAGGCAGTGCTCTCGGCAGTACCCTCAACGTGTTGGAGAAACTGTTGGAAATGTTACTACAACTGCTGCTGGGGGAGTTTTGGGGGTCCTCAACGTTACGCTGGCGACTGCGGACGACTTCCTGACACCCGCTCTCCAGTCACTGATTACGGTAAGGCGCCTATTATCCACTTCACTGAATGTTTGTTAATCTCATCTAGGATGCCCCAATCACACTCCTCAATGATCTGCTCGCAGCAGTCTTACATCCACATCCTCTGGATCCGGGCTACCACGGCTGGCAGTACTGGGGCTGTTTCAACTCCACAGCATACACAGCTTCACACACCCCCAAGACCACCGACCCAACACTCAGCATGAGTCCAAAGCTATGTATCGCCCTGTGCGTAGCCGACAGACTCGAAGTCGCTGTCGTAATCAACACCCAATGCTACTGTTCAAACGACACACCCGCCTTCAACTCTGGATCCAACACCTGTAACCTCACCTGCCCCCTAAACACCGGTCTATTCTGTGGCGGCACATCCGCAATCTCAGTCTTCCGACGCGCCATCACTGCACTCCCTGTGCCTCTACCAGCCAGCCCCGAGCCAACAGGCTGGCAATACAGCGGCTGTTTCTACGGCGACGCCTGGTTAGCACTCAGTCCCTACATCACCTTCTACAACAGCACCGTCGGTCTAAACGCCACGTACCAACGGTACCTCGTACACATACGCGGCCCTCTACGGCCGCCGCTGCTACTGCTCCAACAGCGCCGCTAATCTAGGCCTACAAACCAGCATCGGACAATGCGGTCGAGCCTGCGACGTAAACACCACAGAAGCCTGTGGCGGCGAGAGCAACTCTGTCCCTTACCAAACCGCCACCCGCTCTCTCATGATCACACTCTACACCCTTGCACCAGCCCCTGCGAAAACCGTCCCTTAGACACCCGCCACACCTGGTCCGCAGGGCTGGCAGTACTATGGCTGCTACTATGGCGCTGTATACCTCCTCGACGCCATCATGAACGGTCTGCAAGTCTCAACCCTTCTCGACCCCGTGCCGGCTATGAGCGACGACCGCTGCATCAGCTTGTGTCTGGCGGCGAGCATGAATGTAACGCTGGATTTTGCGCTTACGTTAGGCGGTACTTGTTTCTGTAATCAGAAGCAGCCGACGGAGAATCTTTTAGCGGATGATCAGGCGCTGTGTGATACGGCTTGTCCGGGGAGTAATGCGACGCAGAGGCGTGGGGGGAGTGATGCTGCGAGGCCGCCGACGCTGGGGGGTCGGTTGTTTAGTATTTTTGGGGGGAGGGGTAAGGTGAGTGGATTTTTTGTTCTTTTGGTGGTTGTGTAGGGGGTGGGCTGTGAGCATGCTTGACTGTGCTTTGTGCTTTGCTTTGCTGCGGCTTTGGTAGGTCATGTTGTTTGGGGGGTGACTCGTACTTTTGAACACTTTTGAACCGGAGAGGTAAGTGAGTGATGACAAAATATCGTAACGAAGGAGTGGGAGTACATCAGGGTCCAAGTGGGCGAGCCGGACGGAGTGGACGGACTGAAGTAATAGCAATTTATGCCGCGGTGCCTTCGTGGAATAACTACCGGAATCGCAAAAAGGACTGGGAGAAGATGGTACGAAGAGACTTGAGTAAGAGGCGTCACATCTAAAACACTGGATTTCGTCCGCGCACTGTAGCGTCTGTATATGCGTAAGTACAGTTCTGCATCTCAAGGATCAACCGCTGAATAATAGCCCAACAGTCATCACCCCTTCTTGCACCCAGGACACCTATCCTAGACACTATGACGTGTGAATTAGTGACATGGCTCATGCTCAGACCAGCACTAATCATAGAGTGGATACAATTCTGAATCCATACATGTGCATCACAAGAAAAATATAAGAATAGGTGGTGTGAAATGGGTGGTAACTGATATACTGTACAAGGCAGAAGAATGTCCAAAGAACCCTTCCAAAACTCCGTTTTATCCAATGCCTAGAGGACCTCCCCCCATTCCTATACAAACAAACTAGCGTATGACACCAGCCCAGTATACGCCATACCGAGGTAAAACAATATGAAGATGTAGATCAAGACGTTCTCGGGGTCATATTCCTCTTCAGATAGGAAAACCATGAGGGACGAAGATGAGTTTGGAAGCTAAGAAAGACGCTATATTTTGGATTCTGGTGGCGAATCCCTTTCTGGGGGTGTAAAAGGTTCCATGGTCGGGGATTTGAGTTCTCTCGGTGAGTTCATTTCTGGAGGTGTAAAAGGTTCCATGATTGGACGTGGTATCATGTCCTCGAGGCGCATTTGCGGGGCAATCTGGACTTGTGGGCGAGGGGTGTTGCTCGGTCCCAGCCTCAGGATCGGTCGCGCATTCTAGTCGTCACCTTGAACAGAATTAGTGGCCTTTCATTATAACGTCGTCGCCTTCATCACCATTTAGTGTTTCGTCGACGTTGTTCGTAAAGACTAGGTGGCTTTCGTAGTATTCCAACATCTGCAGTGCGTTAGCGGGAGTCGGCTATGTGTAATAGAGGGGAAACGAACCTTTTGTGGGCATTTCTGATAAACGTGCTTGAGGGGATGTAGCGTCTTTTGCTGGTTGAGCCATACGATGTAGGCGAATCTGCCAAGTTCACCCGTCTTGGGATCGGCCTTCTCCTCGACCGTGTCAATGTGACTGACGTCGTGCTCCCATGAGCCTGGGGGTGGGGTCCATTGGGGTTCTGCTTTTGCAAGCTTATCTTGCTTTGCCCGCTTGACACTAGTTGTGGAAGTGCCCGAGACTGATTTGGGGCCTGCAATCGATCGTCGTCCCTTCCGTTTTCGACCCTTGGGCTCTGGACGCCCGCCAATCTTTGCGAAGTACTCCTTCAAGACGTCACTCGCACCCTCCCTGTAGTTGTCAGTCGCGGGTCGGGCGGTAGAAGGATACTCGCACGTACATGTTCTCTTCTGTCTCCCAGGTTCTGTCACTGGGGTCGTCATAACCTTCCCATTTTACATCGAATTGGAGGACGCCCTGATGGGTCAGTAATGCGCACGAGGAAGCCGAGTATCTCTACACACCTTTTGGAACCGATGACCGTGGATTGCCTCGACGACATATCTATCCCATAGTCAGCGCGGTGCGACTTGGATGCACGTGGTGATGCGCCTACTCGTCCTCCCCAACTTCACTGTCATCCTCGTCCTCGTCATCTACCGGCTCCGGCCCAGCCTGTGACTGCTTGCCCCTTCCCCTTCCCTTGGCGGGTACGCTTTCGGCATCAGAGGATTCGTGGTCGCTGAGAGCGGCTAGATGTATGTCAGCATTCACAGTGCACGCGCAGGTTGGTGAAGCACATGGGCAGGCGCAACTCACGAGGCATGTTGGAGCAGTCGCTAGTGATGACGGATGCAAATTTAGGGTATTGGTGGCTGCACGGAGCTTTCAGTGGTTCAGATTAATGCGATTGTACGCGCAAACTAGCCGGTAGGCGTCGTGGCAGTCCGGGACAGCGGCCGTAAGAGTAACGCGGAGTATTGGAGCTGGTGACGGAAAGCGCGTTCGCGACTCGCGGCCGTGCACAGGGACGCCAAGACCTTCTGGGGAAATTTCGAGACTGAGATACTCGTTGTTTGGATATACCCCACCACCCCTCACTGCTAAACATACCCGGAATCGCTTTGTACCCGATTCCTGCAGTTTGGATTCTTTGCTGTATCTCTCTTCTGTTTCTGTAGCGAGCAGTTGTTCACCATGGCGATGCGTAAGTTGTGCAGGCTGCATAGCTTGGATCCCTCCCAAACTTTACTAGTAGACACATAACAAATGCTAACTTTGTATGAATAGAGGTCGATCTTTCCAACGGTATGCTTGCGAATATATGATTACTCGGAATTACTTCTGGGGCCTCGAATTCATCCACTAACACTATGCTTTACAGCCCAGGTGATGAAGGATGAGGCGGGCAGGCCATTCATCATTGTCAGAGAGTATGTGGAGCACCAAATCCAAGCTATATAACGGTAGAAGATTTCACGTCTAACACGCGCAATAGTCAGGGCAAGAAGCAGAGGCAACATGGAAACGATGCGGTCAAGTCCCACATCCTGGCGGCCAAGACGGTCGCCAACATTGTCAAGAGCTCTCTGGTAGGCAAAAGTGTACGAACAGCAACATGCATCCGCTCACGAATATATAGGGACCCCGTGGACTGGACAAGATCCTAATCTCGCCCGACGGAGACATTACGGTTACCAACGACGGCGCCACCATTCTCTCCCAGATGGAAATCTCCAACCACGTCGCAAAGCTACTAGTCGAGCTGTCAAAGTCACAAGACGACGAGATTGGTGACGGAACAACGGGTGTTGTAGTACTCGCGGGCGCTCTCCTTGAGCAAGCGGCGGACCTCATCGACAAGGGCATCCACCCCATCAGGATAGCAGACGGCTACGACCAGGCCTGCGAGGTCGCCGTGGCCAGACTCGATGAGATTAGCGACGAGATTCACTTCTCAAAGGAAAACACCGAGGAGCTCTTCAGGGTTGCAAAGACGAGTTTGGGCAGCAAGATCGTCTCCAAGGCGCATGACCAGTTTGCCAACATCGCCGTAGACGCAGTCCTGTCTGTGGCAGACCTGGAGCGCAAAGATGTCGATTTTGAGCTTATCAAGGTCGACGGCAAGGTCGGCGGATCGCTGGAAGATACATTACTCGTCAAGGGTGTCATAATAGACAAGGACTTTTCCCACCCTCAGATGCCATCAGAGGTCAAGGACGCCAAACTCGCCATCCTGACCTGCGCCTTCGAGCCCCCGAAGCCCAAGACCAAGCACAAGCTCGACATTACCACGGTTGAGGAGTTCAAGAAGCTGCAACACTACGAGTCAAACAAGTTCACGGAGATGATTGAGCAGATCAAGAACACGGGCGCCAACGTAGTGATATGTCAGTGGGGTTTCGACGACGAGGCGAACCATCTTCTTCTCACAAACAAGCTGCCCGCTGTACGGTGGGTTGGAGGCCCGGAGATTGAACTCATTGCCATTGCCACCAACGGACGCATTGTACCACGATTCGAGGATCTCAGCGCGGAGAAGCTTGGAAAGGCGGGCATTGTCAGGGAACTGACCTTTGGCACGACAAGAGACAAGATGCTGGTCATCGAAGAGTGTGCCAACACAAGAGCTGTAACCGTCTTCGTCCGCGGCAGTAACAAGATGATCATCGACGAAGCGAAGCGGTCACTACATGACGCTCTCTGTGTCGTTCGGAACCTGGTCCGTGACAGCCGTATTGTATACGGTGGAGGGGCTGCTGAAGTAGCATGCTCGCTTGCAGTTGAGGATGCAGCCGTCAAGGTAACCATCATATTCCCGTCTGACCTTTGTCAGAGCTAACATTACTCAGAGCCCCGGTCTTGAGCAATATGCCATGCGCGCCTTTGCTGACGCCCTGGACTCGGTTCCCATGGCTTTGGCTGAGAACTCCGGTCTCAGCCCCATCGAAACCCTCGCTAACATCAAGTCCCGGCAAGCCAAGGAGAAGAACACAAGGTTAGGTGTCGACTGCATGCAGACGGGAAGCAATGGTAAGTCCACCTTCATAATCAACCCCCAATCCCCCCACGCATGCGTTTCGGCAATGCGCTCGCTTCGTCTCATATCATGTCACTTATTTTCACCGCTATTGCGCATGCTTGCATCATGGAATATCTCCGAGAGATACGAGACCCCCGTGCATATACTTCCCGTGTCCAACGCCTCCGCGGGATGTAGTGCTACCCCCACGCGCCATACTGTTGCGCTGGCATGAACGCAACCACAAGTGGAGATGAGTGCGAGTCATCCGAGACACTTGCTTTGCTGTCACATTTATCTTTTGTCATGGGCCGCATTGGTGGCTGAAATTATCGAATATCGTGCTAACGTGGCGTTTCTGCAGACATGAAGGAGCACTTCGTGATCGACCCCTTGATCTCGAAGCGGCAGCAGCTATTGCTCGCTACACAGCTGTGCCGTATGGTACTCAAGGTATGTATTGTAACGTTTTCTGTTTCGTGACAGGTCGTCGCTTGTTGCGCCACACGCTCTTGGTGTTACTCCCTTTCCCGCCATCCCTTCCGCCTTCTCCTCCATGCGTGCGACGTCGCTTTCCTTACTCCATCCCTTGCTTTTCCGCATTGATTCCATTGCGACGTCGGGGGAGCGGGGAAACGAGGACACAGACGCACGAGTGCTGCATGCAATTTGGCAACCACCTTGTTACACGCGGAGCAGGCTTCCTGTGCTACCCCACGGCCCTCGCCGCTGGGTACATCCCTTGTCAACTGTAACCATGTAACTGACCACAACGCACAGGTCAACAACGTGATCATCGCTGGAAACGACGACCAGGACTTCTAGACGCCACCTACGCCACCACGTCGTTTGCATCACATGGAAAAGATCCGTGCTTGGTAGAGTCAGAGAGACAACAACCAACATGCAACGAGGCGCAGTGTCTTGTTGGAAGGAAAAGCGACATGTTTTGCGGCGGGATACCCTCATATAGCATCGAAGCAAAAAATCAAATTCAAGCATCTTTGATGCCATGACATTTTTTCTTACCTGTGACTGACTGCTTTCCGCGCGTACGCACAACGTAGTACGTGTCTCAAGTATAGTTTTCATCATCGCTTTGGGCAAACATATCTGGGCGTGTAGTTAGCGCATTTCCTTATTCGACCCGCATGCTGGGAATGGACTTGATAAAAACTGTCCTGCATGCAGACGTCCAGTGCCTGGGTGAAGGGCTATACCGCTTGCTCCGTTCAGCGCATGCGGGCGAGCGTAGGTTACAGAGTGTGAGGTCCTGTGACGACGTATAGTAAGATGGCGTGTTTCAACATGGGAGATTGTACGTAAGGTTCGGCAGATTGGAATGGTTGGGTAGGGATGGTTCTAGCGGTTAATAGAGAGAGGGGAGGGGTAGTAGTTTTGTTGGGGATGTCTGTGAGGGGTAACGGGGGGGGATCGGGAGTGGAAGGATATTGGTATTTGGTCTTTTGTTTAAGCATGCATGGTAAGGGGTATAGGTGGTAATATCAGATGATTAGTGCAGGTGTGATGGACACTGTAGACAGATAGCGGGCGGGAAGTTGATTAGATTGTCTAGGGTGATATGAATGTGTGTCTTGAATGATTATTATGCTGGTCGTGAGTTTATGTTTGGTAAAGAGGTAATAGTGGAGTGAGGGACATAGATGCCACAACCCACACGCTCTCTCTCAAACCTTTTATTATATCTCAAATTGCCTCTTGTTACTTTTTCGTTTCTCTCTCTAAAAAGCAGTTACTGTACTGCATCGATCAAAGGCGCAAGCCACGAAATACTAGAATATTGTAGGAAAACGGCTTCAAATGGCGGGAGTCCTTTTCACGAACATGTATATAGGCAGGACATCACTCCCCTTAGATACAAAACACCTAGGAATAGGTTCCACGAGGCAAGTGCGACAGCACTATAAGACCAAGGCGGGACCCGCCCGAATACCCTATGGGAGGTTACAGATAGGGCGTTAAACCATAATCAACATCAACATCAAGTGGAGTGATGGGGTGGTTGTGATGATAGTGATAGAATGTGATGTCAGATAAGTGCTGGTGGGGTTAGGAGAGTAATAGTAGGGTATAGTGCATACATATCGTCTTGACTTTCTGGTTCGGTCTTCTTTGTGGGATCATGGTGTGATTAAGGTGAGAACGTGATAAAGGAATTAACTGTAGACTCCGTGATCTTTGATAGAGATATTACAATGGCGTTCGGTAGTTGGACTTGTGAGCATGATTCTTTTGTCCGTGGTATAGGGTGATTATTTATCAGTTATCTCGCTTGCATGACTTGCATGTTGGATTGAAGGGAAATATTTGTATGGATCCTGCGGTTAGAGGAGACTGGTTCTGGGAATAGACGCAGACCTGGGCGAGCGGTCTGCGGTACTAAATCAGAATATTATGATACAGTAAATACCATAATACTAGTATCTCAGAATCCTACAGGAAGCCACACATATCCCTAAATACCTATTATCTAGCGATCTTATACACGCCCACATAGCGTCTCTCCCATACCTCTTTCCCTTCACATCTTTCTTCTACAGTATACTCCCTTACCCTACCTATACCCAAAAACAACCACCCCATTACTCCAAGCGAGCGCTCCTACACAAACGCACACCCCCGCTTCCCCGTTAGTTCCCAAGCGCCCGGGTAGAAACGCCTCTAATTCATGCTATCACTATGCTATGCTATGCTACTTATCTATAGCACACACGCACGCACGCACGCGTGCATACATACGCATACACATACGCCCGGCATCCACGCAATGTACATGTATGTCAGACAGACACGCGGTTATGTGGGGCGGAAGGAACACGAGGGGTGTGTGTGTCCTTGACGGGTATATCCGTGGCTGATACAGTACAGAAAAAGGTTAAATAGTTGGGGGCATATAGGATGTAAGGATGCAAGGGGCAAGATGGGCATAGGAAGGAGTGTGCATGAAGGAAGGATGAATGAGAAGGATTTGGCGGATGGATTGGGCGGATGGATTTTTGGGGCGAGAGAAAGGAATGTGAGGGAGGCTGAGAGGTTGTTTTCGGGATGTGGAGGACGTTTGTTGTGAGAGATGGGTAAGTGAGCATGGGGAAGGAAGGCAAGACAAGGTGAGGTGGTCTGACGTTTGAAACGCGGGAAAGGGCTTTGCGATTGTGGAGTTTGATCGTTTGGATGATGAAGGGAGAAAAAACGATCAAGTCATGAGATCTTCCGTGTGTGATCATTCTTTGGGTTTTTAGTCTCGTCGGAGTTTCCATGTGCTCAGGTTTTTGGGTTACGACGATCTTGTAAGCGATGGAATGAGCAATCGAGATGAGGGTGGAAGCGCAAAGCACAGCATGGCTGCTGCCTGCTTTGAGGCATCATGTCCCCCAATCTGGCGCATCGCGATCGATCTCGCTCGGCACATAGTAGCCTCCAATATCCAAAACATTGTCTCGCGACCTCACACGTCATCGACAACCCACCGAACCCACACACCACACACACCCCCAACTTCAAACTCTTTGTCCCTCTCTTGAAAGAGGAGACAGAAAAAAAGCCCTTTTACCCAGCCAATACCAAACACCCCGGCGTCCTATCCACTCGAAAAAAAAACGCATACATACCCCTTGTTTAGTGACCCTTGCAGGTTAACCACCAACCCAAAAAGGCATAAAAGGTGTAAATTGGTCTACGCGCACAGGTTACGGAGAAGAACAGACTTCCCCCAGCTGCCAGGGCCCCTCCCCAGACCCCAGGTGGTCAGGGTATATTACCGCCGACGATCGCAACATCAGGTGCGGCATCGCCAAACAACCAACAAACGGGTAACAAAGGCCCGTTTTATTTCGTGCAGTTTTGCGTGGGTAGCGTGTGATTAAACTTGGATTATCAAAAAAAGTATAGCCTATACCCCATACAAATAACAGACATGCGGCCGAGAAAGAAAAAAAGTACTTGCCCATGAGATATATTAAATCCCGTCTGATTCGCTTGCTTGCCCTTGGGAGGAGGGGGGCGATTACGAGACCAGACGGACGTGGAGTAAAATGATGCAGGGTCGGTGATGACCTAGGCGGTTTTTGGGGGCGCGCACGCCACAAACGGTCCATGTGGCCCCATATCGGCAAAAGTTGGTCGAGTCGTGTGTATCTGGCCTGTCGCTCGCTCACCACCCCCAAAGCAAGATTGGACTAAGAGATACGGAAGCGAACGAGAACGCCGCCGACAGCATACATACACACGCACCCCCCCCCCTCGGCGGTATTGTGGTCATTTTGCTTTGCTCGTGAGCGCAGAAAAGAAGGAAAAGGGCTTTCGGCAATTGATCAAGTTTTATTTTTATTTTTTGGGCGTGGGACAGGAGAAGGAAAAAACGGCCTCAGAGGTGAGACATTTGGAAACGTGGCACAAGGCATATGGGAAGTCGTGATTGTTCTCGTGACACCTTTGTCTGTGCTGCGCCCAGGAGGGGGCCATGTCGCTCGGCAGTCGGTGGCGAAGAGAAAGTTAAAAGTAAAGTAAGAATCTGGGGCTGGGGTTCGTATGCGGAGAGGGTAAGGATGAAGTGATTGAGCGTCGTGATTGGTAATAGCGCTGTATGATGATGATGACGATGAGCGTTTGATGATGAAGGATGACTCGACATGGAGCCCGCAATGTCGCACATGGCAAGAAGCTGTAAAACCCGTGGACGTCAGCTGGACGGAACCCACGCCAATCTTCGCAAGTAAGCATTGAGCAATATGGAGTGATGGAGACGCGAGGTGGGGCGATTTAGGATGTGTCGTTCCGTTCCTTCCTTCCCTCACCGATTCGGCTCGCCGTCTGATGTCAGCATTGAGATCTAGGATGAGCCTTGCCATCGCACATCTGCATGCAATGTCACAGAAAAGCAACAAGTGCGTGTGATGAAATTGGATTCGATGTGGCCAGCTGAATGGGAAAATAGGGGATCCGCAAGCACCGGTGAATGCAAGCATGCAGGCCACGCGACAATGCAATAGGCCTGGGGTAAGGGTAGTTGCGGGAGCGGCTACGGAGACCTACGTGCGGAACTCTGGCTTCTTCTGGAAGGTACCTTTGCTGAGTAGAGGCGCGCCGATGCGGTGACCTGACATACAAACTGTCTTTCTTTCTTATCAAGTCTGCATTACTAGTACTGTTGGCTTCTGGAACATGGACTGTTCTTTTCCCTCCTAATCGGGGTCATGTCCGGCTAGGTTGGGTTGGGGTTGATTAAGCTTGAATGTGCTACAGCAGCTGGAGTGCGTGATCGTGATGGCGGCTCGGTGCGACGATATCAATATGGAGTAGTAGGGACGATGAACGCCGAATACTTCGCTTGCGTCTAAGTTGGTTCGTTGAGAAGCGGCTGGAATTCCGCAAATTGCGCAAGGCTTGATAGGTTGATTGCTCTGCGATTTATCCAAGAACCATGACAACACCATGGTACAGAAGTATGTGTTACTCGGGCCGGTCTGAATCATTGTACCTGTCCTGCCGAGCTTCTTCGTCAAACTCGGGCCGTGTGATTGAGTGGTCGGTGTACATGAAGCGTGTGATGAGTTCGTCGGGCGTACTCCGTGGGGTGTGCTGAGCTGATACGGCAGTTGTCCTCTTCTTGTCGAGGTCATTCATGTATTACATTTCATGCCTGTAAGAGCTAGTTATTCAAAGATAGATTTGGTTATGGTAGTATCGTGGATCCGGTAAGAAGTGTGCTAAATTTCAAGCAATGGGACACAAAGTATGCTCCACGCGCTGCTGTCTGGCGGTGAAGAAGCATACGAGACTACCGACACGACGTTGCAGTACTCTAGATAACAACCGTGGTCCGTAACACCATATGGTGAGACTCAAGGGTCAAAATTGGATATCCGGGGTCAGCTCCCACGTCCCGACAACATGGTAAGAAACTCTCAGTGGAGGAGCAAGGCCGTTTTAATCAGGGAGCGGGAGTATCAGCTCAAGCTGACCACCCATTCAACCCTTGGTAGATCCTGCACTGTAAGCGCGTTCGGGGAACACAGAATAGATGAAAACGCGCAGATGACAGTCAGCGCGTAGTGCTACCGAACCATTTGTGACCCATGAGCCTGGGAAGTGAGCGAGCCTCACCAACCGACCCCTTCTGAAGATGACAATTTTCATGTCCCGTGTCGTTTTGAATCTTTCAAGACACTCAGCAAGCTAGAGGTAGGGCGAGAATCAATTGCACAACCTGAAGGGTGGACTACCCGAGTAGGTTAGTATGGTGATAAACCGGGTGAAGGACTTCTTCCGCGCATCGTCAATCGAAGTTCGCAGGCTCTGCTCACCGTTACGGCTCGACCGACAGGCTAACCAAATGCGGGGGTTCGAAATAGGGCTTATGCATGGTGCCACCCGAATGCAGAAGGTCGAACTGGATAGCCGTTGGCAAAAGCGCATGCTGCATTCCCGCGGGAAAGTGTCGCGACCGTGCGATTTCCGATTCGCCTACCGGCAGAGTGTTGGTAAGAAATGAGGTGCAGAGGCTGGAGGCGTTAGAGTATCGATGGATACCCCCATCTCTTGGTTTCAGGCACACTGTGATTAGCAATGAGCCGCCACGTTTGTCACTCGCGCATGCTGCAGAGAAAGGGTATCCCCACAATTCTCGGATAAGCATTGATAAGAGGACACACGTGGGAGTAAAAGCCTACTACATACGTTCCGCCAAGCAGGGGGGCGTGTTCATGTGAACTCTGCGACGGCCGGGGTAATGAGCCTGGACGTCTATAGTTGGTCTCTTGGAGTACGTGCTCGGAAAAGCGGGATACTGTGTCGCGATTGCGCACCAAATGAGTGTCGCCGAGTGACTTTGTTTGCGACTTTGTCGGCGGGCGGGTAAGCCAGTGCCTCGCTCAATTTACTGTTGGGTTGCCATCGGTGACCGGCGCTCCTCCGGTTGTCAATTTCGATGCAGTCTATGCGTGCGGGAGACGACAGTGCCATGTTGTCTCGGTACAGGCGTCGGAAGGCGGCTTGTACAGCTCCGCGATCCAGGCGCTGGGTATGAATTGCAACCCGAAGTGCGTTGGGTGCAGCTACGATACAAGACCCTGTTCGGGAAATTGACGATGGCTGTTAGACGCCAGAGGGAAGTCCCGACTTGGTGGAAATGACGTTTAATCCCTCCGTCGTCATTTGCTGGGGGTACGCCCGCTATGGGGGAACTAAAGGGGCACGATTCGTGCAAAATCCCGCAAAAATGATTCGTGCAAGGAGGCCGGAGATCACCCTGTACTTCCCCCCGTGCGCTAGAAATGCGATAGAAGGCTTTATTCACGTAAAAGGAAAAACCTTCTCTATCCCTTAAACCTAAAAGTCGCTTCAGAATGCCCAGAGAGGTCGCAGCCCAACCTTGCAAGGTGCCGACGTAATTTTGCAGCGGAACGTGCTTTTCCAGAGTCACATGCGCGACGCGCACGTTGCTGCTAGTGATTGGGCAACAAACACGGGCAAACAGTTCCCCCACCAACGATGACATGAAGACGCCAGGGCAGGCAGGTGGCAGTGTTGAGATATATATGGGCTTGGACAAAGACTAAATGTAGCATAAGCACGACGGCATGGGGTGACGCTGTGGGTAATACCGTTGCGACCAATCGACGCAACAGCCGGTGGTTGCAAGCCAGGGGATGGGGGCTTTTCCTGGTGACAGCCACGCGACGCCTGCGGGGGCAGCGGGTGCGAGGCCGGGCACAGAAGAGGTTAGACTGGGCGTCATATCCAGGCTGTCGGGCTCTTGGCGTCGAGCAGAGTGTCCGGCATAGTGGCACTGTCACGCCGCCATCATGGGTGCAGTTGTGTGTCCCATGTTCAAGTGCATGCTCAGTTTGCGGGGTGAATACACGATCGAGGTGCGCGGATCCGCCATTGCTCGCAGCGCACAACAAGCAAAAGACGTGATGTAATATCAATCGAAACCCGTTTGCAGACAAAGATGACGTGGAATGCAAGAGCGATCGACCTCCGGCACTTGCAAAGGTGGCGGATGGCAGGATGGTGGCTGCTCCCGACAGCAATACGAGTGGTCAGCTCAGGGTATGGTCAACCCGTGATCAAGTTTGGAATCATGCCCAGGACTGTCTACTATATTACACAAGAAAAGCGTAAGCAGGGCACACGAATCGTGGCTGCCAATGCTGCAGATTCTACCTGGGACTATACTTGGGTATGCTGCTGTGTAGAAAGGTCCGAAAGGTGTAGGATGCATGCCATTGGAAAGCTGGGCATGTTACATGAGCCCGCATTCAAGCATGCTTGTGCGACGGGTTATTGGGGAAGGCATGGTAATGTACGAGTCTGGCACGCTTGCATCAGCGAACCAAGTTTGGCTGTGTCCATGTTGTGTGAGACAATAGCTAGAAAGCGGAATTCATGGTACAAGGCTATTGGGAGCCGTCTCAGCTTATAAGCAGGACATGCGACTGGCGGGGTGGGCTCATGGTTGTACTGGTAGTAGAGGAGATGCCGATTTAGGACCTGCTACAGCATGCCTGTGCCCCCACGACGAGAAAGGTTGGAAACGACTAAGGTAGCTTGTTGTTTGCGTGAAGCTTGACTTTTGTCACGCGGTCGCAGTCACTCTGATCGTCGCAGCTGCGCATGTCATAGCGGGGCCGAGGCAGGTGGGGATCATCGTCGTCAATGTGAGGCTGATGAAGGAGTTGCCGGCTATGAAAAAAGCAGACAGTCATGCCGGGCCCTCGGTCCGGTGAAGGAGAGGTCCAGTGTCGGTCACGTCACGAGCAAACGACTGGCCATTGCCGCGGCTGACCTCCGAGTGACAGTTGTTCTTGCAGCTCGCTGCGCCTGATGATGATGGATGATAGAGTGAGCCGATGGTGGCTTGCAACAGCCACGACGAGCTGGTGAAGCAGCGGGACGGGCAGTGCCACGTAGAATCTACAGCGTTGGCTGGCAAAACCGTAGTTCCCGCTGTACAACTCATGAAACAGGCATCACGCCGCATACAGCGAAGCGCTGCCGTCGCACATGATGCTTTTGCAACTTTGTGATTCGACATGGCCCCCAGATGACCTCGAGAGATTGTCTTGTAATGGATTGACGTAGCATGAGGGGCCAATATGTCGATAGTTTGGTGAACCTGCTGGGCGGACAGTGCACGTTGCAGGGTACATGTGGCTACCCCGACATCTTGACGAGAGTTATCTGGGGAAATGGTTTGAGAGTGTCGAGGGACGGTAGTTTAGCCAGGTGGCCACCGGGCTTGTACCTCGTGCCCCCCAGACCCTTGCGAAAAGTCCAACGCATTCAGGAACCTGGCGAACAATGGGCTCTGGATACACAAATACCGTGTGAGCATTATCCCGAGGCGGCTCGGGTGCTGTTCACGGTACATGGGCGGTAATCCTGTGCCGTTGCATGAGGGAGACAAAGACGGACCAAAGGGCAGCCAAAAGCAGCAGCATGAGCCTGCGAACGGAACATTGGTCGGGCAAGTGAGGGATTTGGTCGGGCAAGAAGCGGGGCGATGCGCAAACGGGCGCAACGAGCTTTGTGCGTGCAGTGCAGCCAGAAAAAAAAAGCGAGGCTTTCCAAAGGCCTGTCCTATGATGACAGACTTCAGCGAAGCTCGTGAGGCTCGCTAAAGTTGGAGGTGAAGAGAGTGGGATTGAGTCAGGGTCCAGTTAGCACAGACTGGCGGCCAGCAGCTGACGAGGCAACCACATGCGCACCTGGGCAGGCCGCAGAGCAAAAGGGCCAGAAGCGTGCAGGGGGGGGGGGCGAGCGTCGGAAGAAGCGAGAAAGGGAAAAGAAAGGCCGGCGGAGCGTGTGAGGTGCATCCGCGGGGAGCTAGGCGGCATGCGGACAAGCGCAATCACATGGCGTGCATAGCTTTTTTTTTTCGAAACAGCTGAGTTAGCGGTATTGTATTACGGCGGAGTTGGGGTATGAGTTTTTTGGGCGCAGACGCAGGTGACGTGAACTGGTGTAACGGATCCGCCAGCAGCGGAAAAAAGACAGTGCGCACAGCACAGCGAGGGACAAGACAGGAGCAACTGCAATACTGCTGGTCAGCATGGCCCATGGCGCCCCGATGGCCGTGACGATTCATCGCGAGAGGTGAGCGAGTCAGCACAGAGGTTCTGGAAGTTGGTGCGCACGTCCGGGAATCATGTGCCTCTGTCTCTCCCCACGCCCACGCCCCGGGCCCTGAGCGGCGACGCTTTCAGAGGCCGTGGGCGGCGGTGCCATGGGCGTCAGTGGCGGCGCACGCAGTGAAGGCTTTTGGCGTGTTGGGCCCTGGATACCTACGTGGTCGCATCTGCGTCCGTCGGTCCAGGTTGGTATCTACGGGCGAGACAGGCCGTGGTGACCACGAGCGTCGCAGAGACTGACTGACTGACGCTGCTGGCCCGACAGGCTCTGGGTCTGATCGGCCAAAGAGCGGTAGAAAGGCCGGGCTGGCTTCTGGGTGCAATCTGCCGGGGACGCTCCGGCGGCCCTTGTTCTGGGGCTAGGCGTGCAAGGGTGCAAAGGTGCAAGGAGCAGGGGGCGTTGGGAGTGTGGATGCCAGAGTCGCGCCTTCCACCCATGTCGGCCCAGGTCGCTCCTGCCCACCCCCCCTGTCGTAGACTGGCGCACACCAAGCGCGGGCTTTATACATACCCAGATCCACTCGCTCCTCTACGGCCACAAAGGTTACTTCTCGACCAACTCCCCCATACATACCACAGCACCTACCACTATACAGTCGACCACAACACGCTCTCAAGAGTCCACCATCACAACAACAACACCTCATACGCATATCTACCCCACTGTCTATCCATGTCTCCGCAAGTCCTGTAGTCCCGCCGGCACTCCCTCTGCTCGGCTACCACCTCTCCATTGACGCAATCGAACCTTGTTCCGCCCGCCTTCGCATACCTCATTCCCCACCCCGACCAACTCCCCAACCACCACTCGCACATCAAACATGCCTCTCCGCGCAGAACGCCCAATAGTGCGCGTCGAGCACAGCTCCATGCGTACCATCGAAACCCGCAGCACCGAGAACCTCTTTGGCCTCTGGTCTGGTAAGCAACGTCCGGCGCTGATATAGCTATGACGCATGCGTATTACAGTCTACTAACACCTGAACGCAGTCTTTGCACGCTGCTCGCCAGCCATGGAAGACGGCAAGCGTTACGAGAACATGGCCTGGAGGCTGTGGTCCCGCGAGACGTTTTGCTGCCAGCCAGACCCAGTAGCCGCGCCACAGTGGTCGTTCCAGCGCCAGCTCTCCGATATGCCCGAGCTGTCCACAAGCGTCGCCTCGGATGATTCGAACTTGCTAGACAGCGCACTTACCACTACTTCCCGCTCAGATCTTTCAGCTTCGCGTCCCGACCTTCGCCGCCACGACTCCGCAACCAGCCAGGCCCGCGGAAGGCATATGACCCCCATCGGCCTAGAAAAGGTCGTCAACTCGATACAAGAGAAGAAGTTCATTGAGCCTCTCTCGCCCCTTCCTCCTCAGCTTGCCCCGCCCGCATCCGAGCAAAAGCTCAACACCGACACCACCCCCCCGCAGATCCACCCCCCCATCACTCGCACGCCCTATTCCAGAAGCCTCCACTTCCACCGTTGCGACAAGCGTCAACTGCGACATCATGAGCCCTGCCGTCGGCTCAGAGGCCAGCACCTCGACCGAAGTCAGCGAGCACAGCGTGGTCCGCGGCTTCGAGCCTGGCCACATCTCCACCTCTATCCGCTCAAGCACCAACCTCAACCCCACTCCCATCCTGAAGAAGACCTGCAGCTTCCTCACTAAGCCGCTACCGACAAAGGCCGACTACACCAAGAAGAAGCAGCCCATGTTCACCCTCGGTGGATCATCCGAGGAGGAGAACAGCTGCTCTTTCGATGCTTACTCACCAGCACAGCGCAGCTCATTGACTGATCACCTCCGCAGGGGTCCTCCCATGCGCAAGACGACCTCATTCAAAGCTGAGGTCAGCACTCGCACCTATCATGATGCCTCTGAGAGCGAGGCAGCCATCGAAAGCGATAGTGAAGACGATGTTGACGAGAGCGCCATTGAGGAAGAGGACTCGGACGACGAAGAGTGGGAGGATGATGACAATGAGGAAAGCGGCCCTCCCAGCGTTGTCGACCGTCCCATGTTCCCTCGTGTCGATTCCAGAGTCAACCTCAGCTCCCGCCGATCCCTCCTCACCACTGCCCTGCATCAAGATGACCGCGCAGCAGCTCTACAGAATGCAGCATCTCAATCATCATCTGCTATCCGTCGCTCCCGCACCACAGCACCAAACGGCCCTTCCACCGGCAATTCGCCTCAAGAAGACTGCGGTCTCATGATGCGAGCACAAGCCTCCCGCCCCAAGCCCATCATCATGACCACTTCCAACGTACATCCACCAACAATGAGCCCCAAGACAATACGTAGACAAATGCTTACCAACGAGTTGACTGGGAGCCTCCGACAGAACCTGCTGTGGGAGAGGCAGCAAAAGAATGCTACCACCAACGCGGTTTCCAAGCGCCAACAGAGCGCTGTCAACCTACCGGCCCTGCGCCGAGCCATGACAACAGGCGACGTCCAGGGCCTCAACACCAACGCACAACAGTCCCAGATCAGGTCGACGACCTTCAGGGACGACAACAAGGCCATCAGCTCGTTTAATGACGTCTTTGAGCATGGCCTTGGCGACTACCACAAGTCAGGATGGTAGTCCTGCATTGTTTATAATCATCTGCACTTCTAGCGGCATCCATGGTTTGGCATTGGACCACGGCGTTTGTTTTGTTTTTTTGTATTCTGGTGGCCACCAGTCGATGGACTGTGCTGGCGCCGGTGATGGGTAATGTTCCTCCCAAAAACTTTCTGATACCATCACGGCTTTGTCCAAGCCCGACGAGGCTACGAATTTCTTTCATGCGGTCATTATACCGGACAAAGGGGAGCGTCTTGGGCTACGAGATGGAACATGGCTCACGCCTACTTGGTCTGTATCATCATCTGCATTGTACTTGTATTGGGCCATTTGCCCCAGCCATTATACCCTGGAACGGGACGGCTTTTGCGTCAGACGGCAATAGCCTGCGTGGAAGAGAGCAGGTATTGGCCTAGGTACTTAATGAAGAAAAGCGGATTCACACATTCAACACGAGACTTGCCCACTATCAGATGCTATCAACATGTCTACAAGTTGTGAAAGTGATTATAGCCGGTGAGGTCATGCATGAGGCCGAGACTTTGTTGGACTCATGCCCTCCTCCTTCTCCAGCTTGTCAGCTGTTCCGGGGTTGACGTCCCAACAAGACGCATGTTTGGATACCAGGGCCACTTGTTTAGCAGGGCACCTTTACCGCTCTTCTGAATCGATTAGCACAGCTCCGACTCGACAAGGCGCTTATGCACGCTTTGCTGTAGCCTTGATGCGCCGGATAACACCAATGGCGCAAGGCGGATAGCAGGACAGGAGCGCAATGTATCGTTGCAGCTGCCGCGCCGTGTCACGATGGCATCCAAGACGAGTGTTTAATCAGGACGACAGTATGGCCGAGGCTACAATTGCATGTGCCGGCCTAGGCTGGCGCAGTGTTGCGACTTGACAAGCTCACGAGCAAGAATGAGTCGAGCAGTTCGCGGCTGTTGCCCAGGCCGCTGGCTGCCGCCATGCTTCGGGCCGGCTTCCTGCCTCACCGTGTTGAATAGTCTTGGTGCAGAGTGCGTGCCTGACATGTGCTGCAGTGCCGCAGCTCGTCACAGGGAGACCAGTCCAAAAGCCTCGTGAGACGATGGGTGTGCAGTAAAGGCCAGGACATGTCCGACATGCATCGTGGCGAGACTCGACTGCTGCAGACGCCCCTCAGCCTTATGACTCAGGCTGCGAACACTGTGTTTGACGCTTGCCGTTTCAGCACTGCCCGAATGGGATGGGTAAACTCTCTTCATACGACAAGAGTGAAAGCGTACCGGCGAGCGGATGCATATGGATTGGCATTGTCGAGGGCTCAGGCTCGACTTAGCGACTACGTCATGCTAGCCGAGCCTTTGCCTTGTACCTTTCCAACTTACCCCTCGCCCGTCGCATCAGCGTCCGTAATCACTCAACCTCACGCACAAACGCACGCACGCACGTACGCACGCACGCGCAAGCAAGCAAGCCTCGCCATGTCAGGCCATGGCTAGGCGAGCAAAATGACTTTTACTAACCCGTCCACCGCTCACAAACAGCAATCATTACCCCGGACCGCATTGCGCGTGGGGTCCTCCTATACTGTACCTACACAACTCGCAGCTCGCATGGCGGACGTGCTCCCTCACCCTGGAACCATTACCACATTACCGCGGTTTTCAATGTCGTTTGATCATCTGGATGCTAAAAACAACACGCATCCCTGAAATGGCCAAAGGCGATTGCTCCTCCATCAGGCACCCGCAGCGCTACCCCGCGACCCAGTCGGTCTGGAGGTCGATGCGTTGGCACCTTAGCGCCTGCGAGAGGTCATCTGAAAGCATCCTGGACGAGTTATCGCAAAGATGCTTCAGCCTCATGTACAAGCAACTCCGCCACGGCATACGCTCCCTGCCACTATCGCCCTCAACCGTCTGCTAATCGTTGACAAGGCCTCGTCCTGTGACTGTGTATTTATCGCTTCCGTCCATCTCCGCACTTTCATTTGCTGCGACCGTGGGGGTTCCCCTGCCACAGCCACCCCTATCGTCGCCCGTTTTGCTCCCGCGAGCCGTCACATTATGGTGACGTTCCTTCCCGCCAATGCTGCTGGCGTGCTGCCTACGCGTCGGACAGATAGCGGAATCCGCCTTTCAATACGACGACGCAGAGATCATCAACTGCCGCTCTCCACCAAGCATTACTCCGCAGATCACTACATCGAGACCGCCCCCAGATGTTGTGCCCGCGGAAACACTCCCCATTGCCTGGTTTCAGAGTCCCACACGGCGCCAGTGTTCCGTCAATATCCTCCCCATTTACACAAATCCCAATCATCGCATAGCTTGCGAATGCGTACCATGACTGACTCCAACCATACCCAAGACCTTCTGGTTTCGGCTTCGGTAATTGTAATCATTACAACCTGGCGCATACAGACATTACAAACACAGGCCACTGACCCCCTAGCGTCCTGCAACAGGCGCTGTATTCCGTTTCTCGCCAATCTAGGTACTTGGCATTCAAGCGTATATTAAATCGCTGTCTTGGTCGTCACAGTAGTGCGACTTGCTACAGTTGACGGCAAGAGCTGCGAAATCTGGATATCAGGTGCACCATCTTGGTAGCTCAAAGGTTCCACAACTTCGTACCCCACGGTCAAGGCTTCGTACCGATCCACGCGTGAAATCAAGGTATCGGAAGTAACAGAAACCGGGTGAGCAGGTATTCTGGAGCTCATCTAGTGGATCAGGTGAATAACGAGGAGGGACGTCCCATGTCTCAGGGCCTCAATTGTCCTCTGACCTCCATCACGGACCTTGACAGCGCACTGCTGAGCGTATCTCGATGCAGACTGTCTGATCTTACAAGATATTTACGCTGAGATCGATTCGTCCGTGATGACATCCGTCATAGTGTGCCAGTATAGCGTCACTTGCCCCAGACGTTGTTGGCATGTCTCAGCCAACACCCTGACTAGTTTGACAAGATCGCGATCGCGCATTCTCCTGCACATCTGTTCCCTCCCTCCAGGATGATTGCGATTTAAACTAATGAAATGCAGGTAATTTGTATCTTCAGGTAGATTTGCGGAAGTTTCCACGAGAACACGGTTGTTCTTTTTCCGAGGTTTCGGTCACAGACAGGCTGTCGATTGGACGTGCCAAGGCCGTATGCAGCGCTAACTTGTCCCGTCCAAAATGGAGCCGTACGTCACTTTCTCCTTCGTCCATGCTTTTCTCCATGTCTTTTCGCATCAACAACAGCGATCTCGAGGCTTTCGCCGTCGTCTCCCAGTTTATGTAGCCTGTAAGCTATCGCGTCCCCAGACCAAGGCATGTACGCAACATGCACTATCGATCCTCAACCAAGATATGCCGACCGACCGTGCCTGAGGGAGGCGGGGAAGCGACGAGCTGACTGAACGGAGTCGGCTCCGGCTCTGTTTCGTCAGCACCGAGGCTTCTCGTATACGCGCACATAGGCATCGCACAGCTCATACCATCACCTATGCGCACAGTGGCCATGGCCGTGGCCATAAAGAAGCCGGGTCCGAGAGCACAGCCCAACAACTCATGCTTCCTACAAAATCCCCGCAGACAGGTGTCAGACATTGAGAAGATGGATCGCCATGGAGGATACCATGGTAATCGCGACTCGGGCAAACTAACCTTCAATCTAGAAATTTGCACTTGTAGTGCAGTAAGAATGATGCTATCGTCCCTGAAAAGAAAAAGGATCCACTTCCACCGGTGGGGTGCGACATTTACTCGGGGTATCTTGGATCACATCACGAGGCAGGGCTATGTTGGTACGTTACCGGTAGGGCGAAACCTTGGAAATGATCAAGCGGTCCCCGGACCCTGGGTTTGCACAGCAAGTAGACTCTATAGCGCTCCCATTTCAGCGTCGCGCTATTCGGAATACTATACAACCGCTGTTATATGTTTCATGTTTCAATACCGTTCCTGGATATGGGAGGATATTCGGCGTCAGCTGCTGCTTTGGAGCGGAGACACCTTCCCCGCAAGCATCGTAAACCCCGCCACGCGACACATCCCTGCACAGTTGACGCCTCCCTAAACGCCCACACGCCATGACGCCTTTGAATCTTACCGACTTGCGGAAAATTCTCTGCATCCCGTACGTTGACGAGGACGGAGCACTAATTGGTGGGAACTCGGCCGGTAACTGCAAGGTTGAGAGCATTGATGACATGCAAGAAACGCAGACGATGATTTGGATGCGAATCGGATGATGCACTGCTCCAGTACTTATGCGACCCTGCATGCGTGTTATGTCAGGCCCTCTCAAACGATTGACGATGCATGTTGGATTTCTGCTTTGGGCGTCAGCACCTCATACTCACGTATTGCCATTGGCATTTGAGGCCCAACCCCAAGACGTTGCTTCAGTTGCGCCGAATAGGGTCTTGTATTCACGGTCTGCACCGCTGTCTTAACCGTCTCATCCAGGTCTTCTTCAAGCTCCACGGCTCCCCACAATGCACGTGTCAAAATATCGAGGATACGCCGAAACCCTGAAGATCGTCAAGTCGGCGATGAGACCGTTCAAGGGTTTATGTCAAGTACCATTCCCATCCTGTTATCTTGAATGCAGCTACTGCCGGAACGTTGCTTAGCTTCCCCGCCATCCTTACCCCGCGGGCATCTCAGTGGCGGCTAGGTTAACGAATGAGGAAACTTCCGACAAGCCTAATCTGACAGAGTTTGGGGCGAAGGCTCCTCATGTCAGGTGTACACACGAAACTTTGGGACACTGGATACACTTCCCCATGCCGGCAACCCCGGGTGTCGCAAGTTGAGTGGTAACCCCCAAGCGATCAGTGCCTGATTGCAACCTCGACTCGAGAACACCTCCGCACCATTGCCCCATGGTCCTTCGTTGTTTAAACTCAATTTCAGCCGGGACACACTGTCATTCATGCGCCTCATCTGCTATTTCCATCTTCCCAGTACCGAGACTCAAATAGATTGTTACACATCGAAACACATCCCAGACCATCATGGGGCTCCGCAAAGATGATCTTATCTGGGGTTCATGACGTACTTCACGAGCATGCAGGTACCAGCAGTGTCGATCAGAAATTACTTGATGCGGCAATCCGGATAAACTCTCCTTGCCGCCCAAACGGTGCAAAATTACAACGGTGACCTTGTCAGCGTGCGGAACAATGTCGGCTCTGTCTATATGCACGTGACGACACAGCACACGTACGTCACGATTATTTTGCACGCCCCAGGAGCTAGTGAGTATTGCCCGAGCCTCAAAGTGGTGTGGCCAACACTTTCGATAATGGTAGTCGTTCCCAACAGCTTTGTGGTGTTGGCTGTGGAGCCCATCGCAACAAATCCCCACCAGATCGATTGGCCACAAGCCCAAATTAGCTATCGCCATCGTCACGCTCCAGGGAAGAATCTGGGAAGAAGTTTTCTAGAAGGCCGGAGTTGCTGCTGGCGCATCCGTCAACAGGGGCACTATACGAAATCAAGCCTCTGTCAACCGCGGAGAGGCATTCAATACCGGCATTAACGGCAAACGGGGCATACGCGTATGGAGGTTGCGAGTTTAAGGGTACGCATGTTCGCAGGGTTGGATTGCGACGGTTGGTGTTGCCCGTATGCGCAGGGTGCAACCGTCCACCTCCAGACTCTGCGACAGTCTACTTCCTGGATCCTTGAGCAAGGCCTCGACTCCAGCGGACGCGGGAATTGTTGGGAATCCCATATCGACAACTACGCAGTGAGCTTGCGACTGCCCGCGTGCGTGGGATTTCACGTGCTGCCTTTCCGGTGGGCTCTTGCCGAGCTCCACCGGTGACATTCAATAGCATGCGCGCGCACGCATCGTATTGTTTCAACTAGGTACGTACCTGCGATGCTACCCAAAGGCACGCACATGAGCGTTCGACGTTTTCCTCTTTTTTACAAAGTCAATGTTATCTTTTTTTCCTGTTCCAAGCATGACTGCAGCAAAATCTCGGCTAACGCCCTTGCAATAAAGCAAAATACTGGGATCATGGCCTGTTTACCTCCACTTGGGCGCAAATCTCTTATCCACAATCTGCATTTACTCTGTTCCTTTTCACATGCCAGGTGCAGAGAAAGCGCGCACGAGAACATGTTGTAGTTCCGTGAACGTCCGAACGAGGCCCACACAGTGAACGACAGTCCAGCCTCGATTCCAGACTCCGGCCAATGTCGCATGTGAGTCGTATTGCGACCCACAAAATGGGGGGTGAAATGGGACATGTGCGCGCGGTTCCCTCCTGAATCTGAGCCACAATCAAAGCATCTCTAGGGCTTCACCGCCACGCATCGGTCTTTACATGTACAATCACAACTTGCCTCCAGCACGCTTGCATGCGGCTCTTGCTAGCGTATGACTAAATAGGGAAGGTCTCGGGGACAGGTGCCTTGACGACTCTTTGGGGGATCACGGATAGCTAATACGCCAACTGTGGTTCGGCACAGAAAAGTCGCATGCAAACGACTAAGCTCTCTGTTCACTGCCTGTCCCACCTGAGTATCATACAATACTTGACATTGTGGGTGAGCGAGCACCCAATAAGCGTGTTTGGCGACTACAGTAGCCTTTGCACCCTAGTATGTCAAGTATTTCATGACACCCAGGTGGTCCTCCGTCCCTCCGGCCGGCAAGCCCGTCCGACAATAATCCTCCCGAGAGTCGTCTGATTCGAATTGTTTCCGATGGCGAGAGAGAGAGTTTTCCATGCAGTCTTCTAGGCCTCGATCTAGTGTGCGAAAAGGGAAATTTTTTCTTTCCCGAAGCAGCGCTAGAGACGGAGGTTGGAGCCAAACAGCACCCAAAACTCCATCGCCATCGGCTGTTTTGAAGACCAGGGCATGAAATCTATTCAATGCTAACCCTCGTCCCAAAACAAACCCTCGTTTGCAGCCTAAAAGCTGGTTTTTTCGCTGTAATCCTACCGATTGGACGGCCATGTATTCGCCAAAGGGGAAAAAGAGGTATGACACTACAGTGACTACACTGCATTGCATGTGTACAGCGAAACAATCAATCGGACGTGAACGGGTAGCCCAGACTCGGACATCGGACTCATCGTCACTGCAGCTGCATCCGTTGAGGCTCTGCGGGTGCACGTGCGCTAGTTAGAGCCCCCGGGGGGCTTGCTGGCTGCCAAAATAGTCAAAGGTGGGTCTGTCTGTCTGTCTGTCTGTCCAACCGGCCGCTCTACTCTCCTACGAGAGATACGCACGCACGCACACACGTACTTACGTAGGCGAGAATGGGGCCATGTTGCCTGTGCTTTTGGCCCCATCGCTGATGCCGTGCGTGCGTGCGTGCGTGCGTGTGTTGTTTGCACCATGCAAACGGCTTGTGTTTTGTTACCATACAAGGACGGGTTTTTATTACACGGGTGGGTGGGGATGTTGAGGATACGGATGGAGGTGACGACGACGACGTGGTCGTCATAAGTAGGCATGAGCTTTGGTCATGGGTACACCCGGGTTTCATGGAATTTGTATGTACTTGACAGTGTGGGTATGCACCTCATAGGTGTGTTTGGCGACTACAGTGGCCCGCGTAGGCTGGTATGGAATGTATGTTGTGACACCCGGGTGGGTATGGGATGTATGTAGCCAGCTGCCAGGACAAGACAAGCTAGGGTAGGGCTATGGATGGTACTGTATGTAGCTATATGAGTAGAACCAAGCGCTTCAACGCCACCTCTTCGTACTGCAATCCTACACGACACCTTTTTCTTTGCGGCAATATATGCGAGAAACACTCTGTTCCTGACTAAGTACGGTAGGTCATCGGTTCTCGTAGCCGGCGACGGACGGATGGGAAGTGATTACGCTTTTCGGTAAACGGTGCTAGCCGTGGCCGTTGCCGAGTGACATGCATAAGACGACAATGACATTCTTACCAAGACACCTAGTTGCAGAATCGCATGTTTTTGAGTTTGCGTGACTGGTGGGGTGCTGGTGTGGTGGAGTGGCGGTGTAGGTGTAGGTGGAGGTAGGTATAGGGATGGGGGTCGGTGTGAAAGTGTGTTGGGGATACGAGGGTGTTGGATACGAGTATGTGGTCTAGGTATGCGAGATTGTAGTATGATTCAGCGATCTTGATATCTTCCTCGTGTCTTAGGATCGAGGGTCGTGTGCGTGTAAGACCGTAGCGTAACAAAGAGCGCGTTTGTTGAGCCTCTCAGACCAAATAGTCACACACTCAACTAGAGTAATAGCTTAGTAATTTAAAATAAAACTTATGCTCTCCTGTCATAATTCACAAGGGTTTTCATGCCTACCACCACTAGGCCTCATCATGCCATCGCCTATATGGGCCTTACTGTCTAGATTGGGACTCTCCCCTACGAGCTTGGTAAGACTAAGAAACGGAAGTTGAAGACATCGCTCGCATATATCGATGATGTGAAGCTGGTTTATCTTGCGGGTGGTGAGAAAATTAGTTGAAGGTGCCTGGTGGAGGGGCAAGAAGCCGTTGGATCTGTTTGGGGTAGGGTATATGATAAGTGTATCGTGTTTGAGGCTCGAGTAGTAATAGTCTATAAACCTAAATGGCGCTATTCGACTACCTCAAGCAACACATCTTACTTGATTGCAAGTGTCCTATGGTATTATCCTACAGCTCTATTGTAGGACAGCCTATACTGTCATGAATACCCCATAGACCGTGGATACCAAAGCCAATCTTCAAAAAACTCGACAACATTGACAAACTGTGGGACATACTCCAGCGCCCATTCCTTGGTAAAGTCCGCAGTATACAGAGCTTTACAATACTCCCAATACTCGGGATACCATCCTGACTGGTGCCAGTCAATGATAGCAAGGACATGACTGGACCCATTAGCAGACACCATTATGTTGCTTGGATGTAGATCAGCATGAGTGAACACAATCCTCGAGTTGTCTGGAAGAGACCCCCGGAAAGGATCGGGAAAATGAAGTTTCCCGGGCTCTTTGAACAGAACAGAGAGCCAATCATGGAACTCTTTGGCAGTGTTGAATGGTCCGGCTGGGGGTTTCACTCCATCTGTAAAGACGACATCAAGGAGGGGCTTTCGGTCGATTCGACCTTATGTATTTTAGCATAAACCTGCCACTCTATTGTCGAACAAGAAGCTCACCAACAAACTGATCGCTCGGGTCCTGCTCTAACTTGCGCAGACTGTTTACCATACTACGTAGTTGTTTGCAGACTTCCTTCTTCGCCTCCTCAGAGAGCGACTCCCACTGGTTCTCCAAGGTTACCCCTGCAATGAGCTCCATATAGATGAAGACCTCGCCTCCATCTTCACACTATCCATATACCTTGGGGACAGGTACCTCGTCGGGCAAGAGCCTGCGAAGAGCTTCAAGGCAGTGTGCTTCAGACGCAGTGATATCTTTCCCATATTTCACAACAAGATTAAGTGAATCAAATTTCGTCGTATAGGAGCCCCATGAACGTCGAAGTAATGGATTCTCTCGAACTTCTGCAGGCGAGGGATAGGAACTGGCTGGTCTGTTGCAGTTGAAATAATTGAATTTTTCAAAGTCGGGAGATTCTTCAAATTGAACGTCGCTGGAAAGACGGTAGCAGTTTGGCATATTTTCCGGAGTTGTCATCGTGAAGGACTGTATAGGCTTCTGGCTAACAAGCGCGTGTTCTATACATATTAGCTATTGACAAGATGATAGAATTCCGTGGTTCTTACGATGACTAGAAGGGCCAAGTGTAGAACGACGAGTGAATGGACTGGGTAGACTATATGTTTCCAAGTGCCCCACACGTAGTAGCAGCGAGATGAAAGATGTGTCGCAAAAGATAGTAAAAGAGATTACACTAAGAGTATGAGACATACACGGTGCAAGAATCGCGCGTGTGTAAAAGACGCGCATGCGGCGCGGGCGACGAAGAACCCCGCACACCGGAATGACTTAGCGCACTCAAATTAAGTTAATATTACCTAGGTAACTACCAAAATAAGGTAACCTATCTCATAAAGCATTGCCCTAGCCATTCTCCCACCAATCAGCTTGAACTTGCTTGCAGTGACTCGTTCCTAAGAGAAAGCACTTCTGCGCCGGATCATTGACTAACGGATTATAAGCAAAGCGGTGCAGTGTGCTACCATCTTTGTAAGATCAATAACATCAGCTAACAGAATTGACGTAACATCACCGTTAGCCCGCTATATCATCGGAGTAAACCTAGCAACAGCATGGTAAATGCATAGGTATTTCTCGAACATGCCTATCGTTTCCGTCACAGCATCCTCTACTCTGCTCGTCGCGTCCTTCCCTTGCACGGCGATGAGCATCTTTACTAAAAAAAAAGGCGACCGGCTGACCAAGTTTCTAGATCGAGAATTCGTCAGCCGATCTTATCCTGACTTGCCAAATTTGCCATCCTTCTCGGGACATGGGAATCTCCTTACTGTGCCGAAAAGGGGCCATTTCTGACCAAGCAATCTCCTGGAACTGCTTATCACCTTGTTCAATAGCCTTCGAAAACTAGGAAACTATGAGGCTTGCTATTCCACAGGTCTGCTTTACCACTTTCTCTCGCGACTTCTTGCAAACAAGGAAAATACTACCATGGAACGCGCCATTGTACGCTAACGGCGCCTTTTAGATGTTTGAAAAACATCAGTAGACTTTTAATAAGTACATTGAGAGTTGGAGTAATCATTATGTCACATAAGATGATAAGAAACGACCATGATACCCACGACTCGGCTGACTGTACTGCGGACGCATCGACAGTCGTCCGTAGAGACCTCGTAGTTGCTTGAATTATGTCCAGCGAGATGACGAAGTCCGGCCTCTCAGCGGAAGAAAACATGGCGGACGCCGTCGAGAAGGTGCTTGTGAGCGCCGAGCACCCCTTTTACAACTAACTGAATCTCTACAGCGGAGTAGAGTCCGTCGGCCTGATAGGAAATGGCGAACTGGTAGACACGTAAAAGCAAAGGGATGGTTATCGATGTCTGTCGCTTGAACGAGTGCCCTATCGACTTTGGAAACTCTTGATAAACTCGCTGAGCGGACGCCCGTTGATATACTAGTCTACAAAAGTTACAACTACTGGTAGATGTTAGCGTGCGCTGGCGTCTCACTGTTGATAGTAACTGCGCGGAATTACTGCCAGCATAACATCTTGCATACAAGATGTACGAGTCAGCGTCATTGCTGTCACTGACTATAACAATGCAGTGACCAAAGGGCGTACCGTTACCTAGCACTACAACATATAAGCTTATACTTACTAGGAATTATATTGGAGTTTTGTACTTTTTACGTAAAGCACCTACTTAGTCATGTTTCACTTTTAAATTGTTCAAAAGAGTCTATTCGAACCAATTTAGAAGGCCATTTATTCATTTCAAATACACTAGATTTCCTTACTACACATTCCACTCCGCCCTCTAGACTCCAATACTCAACCATGGTCTCGTCCAAATCATATATTTGCGCGCCAATACAACTGTATTTTACACCCAACTATCACAAATTTCATTCCTCCTACAACATCGTCTCACTTGTATGATACCGTCGAACAGTACCTACACTCTCTGTTGGTTTTATCGATCTATCCTATCTCCGCACCAGCCAGTAAGTAGTGTCATTGACGGCCGTCTAGAATATATTAGACTATTTACTAATATGCAATGACCGGCTACGAACTCTGTTGCGGTTTGTGAGGCAAGGGTATTGCGCATGTCACGTGCGCTGTCCTGGCGCTCCTCCCTCCCCTCCATGAGCACCTTCTCCCCTCACCAGCATCAGAGATACGTCATGTAAATAGACCCTGATTATGGCTACATATAAGGTGGCCATGACAGCACAACAACAACAGAACACAATATACTCTGATGACTGCCTCGCGCGGTTACACTTTAATTGACTGCATTGTACTGCAACAAACTCTCTTCTACATTATCTTGCGACCTACATTTCTTTCCAAGTTACTCGCCATCCACAAGAATGAGGATTACTACTCTTCTTCTCAATTTATTTGCCTCTAGCGCGCTAGCCAAGCAATTTTGTATCGGCGGTTGCGTCTCATGCTACTGCGGCGACTATTAATATGAGAATCATCGGTGTCATAGCTGTAGTTGCGATGGGAATTTCGCAAACATACTGTACCGGTGCGGAGAGTGACTCTCCGCTAGTGGGTATAAGGAGGGCTCATCTTCTTATGTAGGGGGGCATCTCATTCTCTTCAACGATAACCGTGGTTATTGTTTTTATCTTTGCTTTCACTTTAGTCAGTCTTTAGGAGTTTTGCGATAATACTATGTATTTCTATGTACTCTGCTCGTGCAATCTGCATCCATCGGTCATTAGCGGCAGCGTGGTCTCACAAAATAATGTAAACAAGTGGGTGAAGAGAATGAGGAAGAAGTTGGTTAATTGATAGAGTCTATCGTAGAGAGCGAATATATATCCTCTTGTTACATAATCAGTGATAAAACGCGCTACTCCTAAGTAGGTGTAGATGCTAACAAATAAGAGACACCGACTACACCTGTACAATACCACAATGCAAAAACCCCGATGACTCCATAAAAGACTTACATCTGGGTTGTGGAGCGTGGAGAGATACCTGTGTACATTAGGAGTAGGTTGTATGTACTGTGGCTGTTTACCCGACGGATTCGTCGTCCTCAATACAATGGCTCTTGTTATTTCATTAGGCCGGCTCTGCATACAGACTAACTTGTACATATGTCAGACAGTAGTTCATACATGCGCAACATCTTAAGAGCTCTTGCATCGATGAAGGACAGTAGACCATGTACTATTTTGGTTGCCATCCGATTGAATTAGCTGACTACCGCTTGTAAGATATTTTCTGAGTTCTTTTCAGCGTACAACAACGACCCGCCTTTCAATGCTGAGGCTCTTTTGCGACTGCGCATAGTGCAATCCTGATCTAAGTTGTAAGTATAGTTCCGAACTGATTCATAGAAAGCACACAGAGTCCAACCCGGGATGATTCGAATTAGAAACTAATGGGTCTGATGCTGAACTTCTCACGTCGTACTGAAGGCTAGAATAGGCGCTTCAAGGGTTTTAACACTATAACTCATCGTTGTTTTTCTTTTCCCTGTCTCTTTCACATGGCCATGGCAACCATGGACCATGTCGGGGTTGTACTTAGGTTGCCCTGCCGGATATCCAGTTCTTTAGAATTTTACGTGGATACAAACATCAGCCCGAACACCTAGCAATCTCTATACGCGCGGATCTACAGAACACAAATCTAAGAATTGTAGCGATGAAAGAGAGAAGTGGGTGACTCTGGAGGTATAGCATATCGTATTAGGTGTCACTATCACAGTCCGCAACAATCAATTAAGTGGGTCCTAGAAGGTTCAGATTGGATTGATTGATTACCGCTTTAAGCCTAGTAGTTACCTATAGGAGTTTAAGCCCTACCTAGATAGGTAAGTGGGTCTAGGAGAGTGACCGGATTGAATTGATTGTTGCGGAGTCTAGTCACTATGAGAACGGCTATCGTAGTGTATACCTGCACGCTCACCCAACACGGATCAAAACTTGTCACATATCGGTCACTTTGCGCTTAATATTTTGTGATTGTTTCGCATCCCTATTAACGCTTTCTCCAGGACGGCCTAAAGGCGTAATTTGCAGATCGAATCGCAGCTCTGACACTGAAGTTGTTGCAAAATTTTTGCGACTGATGGTTGTATCCATGTCTAAATAACTGGATACCCGGTAGGTCGAAACTATGTACATTCATGGCATAGCCATGTGACCGTTGTCGTCGAACTTCGGGGCTGGGTGATCTTGACCTTCTCTTTGGCAGACTCCGCAACAAGCAATCCAGATTGGTTCGATTGATTGACTTGATTAATTAACTCAATTCAATTAATCCAATCAGCTCCTATACAAATTAAGTATTAATTTCAATCTTAGAGATAAAGATTAATTAACATGATCCATGGGCGAGCGGCGCACACGGGCGAGCGGCGCACCCCACCAACTTTACTCACCTTACTGATCTTAATCTACAATGGCTCAACGCAGCGCTACTCAATTACTATCAAATGAAGCAGATATTCAGCTTGCTATCTCATCTATTAATGCGCACCAGATCCAAGGTACCCGTACTGCTGCAGTAGTCTACAACGTAGCCGAAACAACGCTCCGCCGCCGACGCGCTGGTATACCTGCCCGACGCGATTGCCCGCCCAACTCAAGGAAGCTTACCCAGAGAGAAGAGGAGGTGATTATTAGCTATATACTTCAGCTAGATCTGCGTGGATTTGCGCCTACCTACACAGCTGTACGTGATATGGCTGATAAGCTGCTGGCTGCGCGTGGTGGAGAGCAGGTTGGAGTCAACTGGCCATCTACCTTTGTTAAGCGTACAGACAGTCTTCGGACGTGTTTCAACCAAGCGTACGATAGGCAGAGAGCTCTTTGTGAGGATGCAACATTAATAAAGAGGTGGTTTAAGCTTGTAGAAGAGACAAAGGCTGAGCTAGGTATCTGCGATGAGGACGTCTACAACTTTGATGAAGCTGGCTTTATGATGGGCAAGATTACAACGCAGCTAGTTATAACAGGAGCAGAGAGGAGAGGCAGGCCGAAGAGTATTCAGCCAGGCAATCGCGAGTGGGTAACGCTGATCGCTGCTATCAGCGCTGCTGGCTGGTCAGTCCCACCGTTCCTCATCTTCGCTGGCCAGTACCACCTATCAGCCTGGTATAAGGAAGCTGAGATCCCACGCGACTGGGCGATCGCAGTCAGCGATAATGGCTGGACGAATAATGAGCTTGGAGTTGAGTGGCTAAAGCACTTCAACGCTCACACGCAGGCTCGTAGTGTAGGCGCGCGTCGCCTGCTTATTATTGATGGCCATAAGAGCCACCAATCTCTAGAGTTCCAGGAGCTCTGCAAGGAGAACAATATCCATACGCTCTGTATGCCTCCTCACTCATCTCACCTACTCCAGCCACTTGATGTTGGCTGCTTCTCGCCATTGAAGCGCGCGTACAGCCGTGAGGTGGAGAGCCTTATGCGCAACCACATCAACCACATCACCAAGCTAGAGTTTCTGCCAGCGTTCAAGGCAGCATTTGATCAAGCGTTCACGCCAGCCAATATCTGCTCAGCCTTCCGCGGCGCAGGCCTTGTTCCTCTACAACCAGAGGCTGTTCTATCAAAGGTAGATGTACAACTGCGTACACCTACTCCTCCAGCAGCTCTGCCAGAGGCTCCCTGGGTAGCTCAAACGCCGAGCAACGCGCGTGAGCTTGAGGCTCAGTCAAGCCTAATACGTGAGCGCGTGCGCCAGCACAAGAGCTCATCACCAGCTTCAATTATTATGGCGATTGACCAGCTAAAGAAGGGCGCCGAGGTGATGATGTTCTCTGCTGAGCTGATGCGCGATCGGATCTCTAGTCTTGAGAAGGCCAATAGCGCAGCCTCAGAGCGTAGGCGGCGCTCTAAAAGGCGTATACAGAAGCATGGAGTACTCACAAAGGGAGCTGGAGAGGATATACTGGCTCAAAATGAGGCTGACCAGCAGATTGCTCATGAAGAGCGTCAAGGAGGAGCGCGATCAGGCCTCAGCCAGCGGGCTCAAAGGCGCTGCACTAGGTGCAAGGAGACTGGGCACAACTCGCGCACATGCAAGACTGATACTATTAATATAGAGTAATCTACTGTATCAATATCTAGCAATAATATTATCGCGTTGTTGAGATGCATCGCTTTAAAGTTGCAAAAGTTGGTGGGGTGCGCCGCTCGCCCGTGTGCGCCGCTCGCCCATGGATCATGTTATAGAAATAGCTCTTATTTTTTTAGAATTATTAAATCGCTTTTGTGGGTTGCGCATTAAGGTGTAATCGTTCGCATTTGTATGGTATCATCTACCTATAGAAACGTACTGTGGCATCCATTTAAAAGCACAATTAATAGGGATAGCCACACCTATGGAACCAGCTTCTGCAGTTAATATTACAGCACACCAGCTGCGCTGCATACTCAAGAAAGACCCCAAAGTCAATGAAGTTCTCCGCTTGCGCTGAATTCCTTTTCATCCACCCCTTGAGCTGCTTAAAGCTCTTCTCGATGGGGTTGAAATCTGGTGAGTATGGCGGCAGATACTCAAGGAGTACTCCAGCACTTTGGCAAAGCACCCGTACACGCTCT